AGAGCTGCATGCAGACTTGTAGCTGGACGCCATTAGGGATCTGTTGATAGATCTGAGCGGGCTTAAAGGAAAACAACGAACAGTACTGGAAGCTGGGTATCAATCGACGTCCATCTAAGTAATAATACTGCGTGATATCAGCAAAGGTTACTGAATCAAATTATTCGGGCTAAATGATAGAAATTATAGGGTACAAGACTGGTAAGAGAGACGGAGCGGGGTCAGACTCCAAGGCCTCGCCTGGATCCTAAAACAACGGAGAGAGAGAGAGAGAGAGAGAGAGAGAGAGAGAGAGAGCGAGAGAGAGCGAAAGACAAAAGGAAAATCAATGATGAAAAAAATAAACAGAGTTTGGCCTACACATGGAAAAGAGAGAGGAGAATTGGGAAGCTAGTTCTAGGGCGATTCATAAATCTAGCAAATTTCGACGCGACATGGTAGAGGTGCCAGAAATAGTTTATAGAAAAAGCTGAGGTGATCCAGGCTGAGCTAGAATCACAAAGCAAACGTCAATGAGTTGCACCCCTGACGGTCTGGTAGTAATGTATTTGTCTACTAAACTCAGTTACGTGAAATGGCCTAGATCAAAATCGAGCGTGATTAATGCTCATTGCATGGTGGGAAGCACCCGTTCAAATCAGTGGTTTACGGGAGCTGCACTGCCCAACAAAAACTTCGAAATAAAAAAAAAAAATAAAAAAAATACGAAAATCGATACCAATGAATAGGACATAGTTGATATGGGAGCTTGGAAGCGAACTCATCAAAATATCAAAAAATTATATGAGGAGTAAAAAATAATCAGCAAAGAATAGGAAGTAGAGTAAAATTTGGTTCGAAGCATAAGATAGCCATTCCTAAGAGAGTGGTTACAAGTTTAAAGAACAACAGGAAGATAAATGCAGTCGGCAAGTGCAATGGAAACGATAATGATGTGGCCTGTTAAGAGATGTGTCATATTTAGACGGCCATTTAGATGAGAAGCCACTCTGATGTCGTCTAAAATGGACATTTCTGATGGATATTTTAAAACTTTAATAAAAAAAAAAATGACCTCTATTATTTTTTCAGTTCTACGCTGAATAAAACCCAGCATTAGTCACTTGAGTACGGTCAGTTAGCCACAAATGATAAAAATATATAGATACGCGTTTATTCAATGGAAAACTGGTAGCATTCCGTGCTCTTGCCATATAAGGTCACTGGTACAATCATGAGACAGACGAGGTGTATTGCGGCGCTCTGGGAAAAGAACCACGCCGTCTGTGTTCTTCTGACGCTTTTTCTTACGTGCCCCATGTTGCAACTTGCGGGGCAAAACAAAGTCAGTCCTGGGTAGTAACAATGCTTCACATATTCGGAGGGTGACGGAGAGAGTTGCTAGTGACGCTGCTCTTCAGAAGGCTAGTACTAGAAATATCATTGTAAACTGGTATCGGCTTAGACAGATAATGTAATCTACCAAGACTACAAGTAGACATCAAAGATTAAGTTAACCTATAGTAAAATGAGGTGACAAATTCAACCTGTCCTGTTTCAAGAATTTTAGGAAATGTCCTTGCTATTACGATGAAGAAACTAAACAGGCAGAAAAAGCATTTTAGTTATTGTTTTATAGTTAAGAATTTTGGTAGACTTTTATCAAAATAGGGATCATTCCTTTGCACAATAGTAAAGTTCTACGTGTCGAGAGTTCTAAAACATAAGCTTTAAGCGCTCAGCCGTTAAGCCAGTTTTTTTTTGTTTCCACATAACGGTGGACTGAATACCAGTCCCGTCGCATGATACTTTAAAAACGGAAGTGAAAAGTTGACTAATATACCAACAAGTAGAAGCACGTGTATCGATATTAGCTGCCCAACAAGGTACTGAAACAATGTTTCTGAGGAACAGTTTTGACAGTCTAAGAGAAAAATCATTTATTTGAGCTCTCCGTGCTCCGTCTGAGGTGGTTACGCTAGTTAACAATGAGATGCGTCGTGTCCTGTATTTTCTCTGAATTCTCGAATAAGCTGATAAAAAGGCAAAAAACGTCTGATTCCTTGACAGACTTCATTAATGTTCACAGATACCCTTTTAAAATAATACGAGATATTCCTATCACTTTTAAGCTAAATACTTTCTCTGATTAAGTTTTGTTGTGAAACTGAGTTTTCAATGACCATCTTAAGCTACTGCCATAAAAACATAGTGAAAATACGTATCCCGTTATTGCTAAATAGCAGAAGTCAATACCTAAAGGAATGCGTCGCACTGCAAATGTTTGCCTTTCCAAGGCCTACATAATGTTTAAGCCGGAGTTTCTGTTTAAAAAAAGGCATCTTATTTTGAATGTTTTCTAGTATCTTTTTAATGCATTATCTCAACAAACGCTTACCTCGGCTTCTTTCGGTTGGACCTATTATTCGTCCTAATCGTAAGCTTTTGTTTTCGAATTCTATGGAAAAGAAGCTCTAAAGGTGTTAAAAGGCAACTATACCGTACATTGTAATCGGAATATTTTCGGAACAACGCGGACGGTTCGACAGAAAATTTTTTTTTTGCCCAGTCCAATAAAAGACGAAACGTTGAGGGCAAAGATGGCGGATTATAGGTGCACTGTGATCAAGGAGTTCTCTTTTCTACTGAAGTTGCATAGTGCTCCAAACGCTCTTTGTATCCTTGTATGTCTGGTTCGCTTTGCACAAAGCTAAACGTGTTCTTTCTCGTTTAGAGTAATTCGTTCGAGCTTTTTCCACATACAGAACTAATTGTCCATATATTCAAGGCCGCAGCATAATACGCCATTAATCCGGACACGCAAAAAATGTATTTACCTAAACGGCAGGCTACGCAGCGTGATAATCTGCTTTTTGTCGGGGCGCGTCCAGTGACAACGTGCCATTTATAATCCTGTGCTTATACCTTGACAGGTTGGATCTTTTACAAAAATAGTAGCTAGATACGACCGTTATTGGGAAAGAGCCTATAAATATTGCTCGTTATAGAAAAACGTTAATGCGTCCTAAAATACGTAAATCAAATTAACATCGAATCTACATAATGATTTAGGTATCGCAGAGACGACGAATTATAGAGAGAACCTCTTCATTCCTCAGCTAGAGAGAACGTTCTATGTATGTTGTCTAGCTAGAGTGTTAAGGGACGATCTCATCAGGACATGCTACTAGGAGTGGTTGCAAACAGGGAAAAGTTTAATGATATAATATAATCTTGCGTAGGCCAACTGCCAAAACCGTCTCTTTGTTCTAACGTTGTTTATTATTACAATTAATTTATATTTTGAAATTTTCATTGTCAAATATTGTTTAACCCAATAAAGGGGCTATTGCCTGATTGGAGTCATACGCTTAAAGCAACCTCTGACCTTTGGATAAAAATGGAGGGCCAGCTGAGTTTATATTTAGATTTTTTTTTTTTTCGTTTGAATTGACTTAAACTTCATAGTTCCGCGAAACTATCGTCACGGACTGAATCATCATATTGGAGAATGTTACTATATACGAAAAGTAGAGATTTTCCAGACAGCAATTGGTAACGGAACGGGAAACTTTAGCTTATTTATAATATAGACAAATTAATTTCACAAACGCAGAGATTTCTGAAGAATCTTATTTGGAGTTTTATCTAGATTTATCAGACACTTAGACATTATAAATGTTATCAAATTAGGTCAATCAATATAACGTCACGATCATGGTTGAACCGCAAATTGGCGCCTACAGAACAGGCTCGACTCGATTTAGTCTGGCGAAAAAGACTTTCGCTGAAACAAGTCGGCTCCAGCCCGTACCTCTCAAGAACAAATAATCATCAGAGAATTATCTATGTAGCGCCTGAGATACCTCAAACTATCTGCTACTGGGTTGGTCAATACCGTATGGCGTGCTGGAAGCATTCGGTTTTTGGCCGTCCGTAGTGTTTCATAGCGCTGAACTCGCCACAGAAAAAGTTGAACCTGAGCTGAAATCTCCCTACGAAGCGAACGACAAATTAAATATATTTCTTTTTTATTGACATATGTTCGGTTTATATCTGTTTTGGCGGAAGAACGCCAATGTCTAACGAAGACCTAACCTAACCTAACCTATCTCGTGGCAGATGTTATAGTTTAATGGAGCGGTTAATGGGCCTTCAGTGATCCGAATGGGTTGGAAGTATTTCTCTGACTACATTGTCAGCATGAACATGTTCGCTCAAATTGCAGCTAAATATAGTAAATAATTATTAGACCATATTGTTACCTTGTCTTTTCAAAGGTGGCTAAAAAAAACCACAAATAAGTCTAGTAAAACTCGCCCGAAGTAATGTCTAACAGCTTAAAAGACGAGCGTGCGATAGGCCAGTACCGTTAAATCTGAGGCGGGCATTTGTGAAGAAGGCCAAGCTCTCGAATGAGCAAAGGATTTGATAGCGTTAGTGGGCCATTGTCGCAACCCAGATGAACTACCGTCATTTAACTCCAATTATACGATGTCGGAACGAGAAACTTCATAGCACATTGAGACAGGATGCTGAGCAGCCAGTGGCATAAAAAATGCGTCAAAAAGCCGGGCGCTGCATACACTGCGCGACAAGATCACAGTCACTCGATCTTTCAAATCGGAACTACTAGTTATTCTAGACTCGGAAAGGAAACTACCGTTAACAAAACAGGGTAACATCTACAGAGGTCTACGCAAAGCAGTTACAACAAAGACCAAATTTATCTTATAACGGGCAATCTAGTGTAGACTGTTAGTATGATACAACACTGAGTGCAAGCGTGTATCACTGAAAAATATCCGGTGTTTCCAATGAAAACATTTTCTTTCGACACTGTTACAACGCTAGCGAAAAATTATACACAATATGTCAATGAGGTAGAGCTATAATATATACGGGTTGAAATGAAGCGTTAATATTGTAATACGCAACGAACTCTAATAACATACTGTAACTGCGTGAAAATTGAAGTTACTAATAAGCAGAACAAATGATGTGAATGATGATGGTTCCAGCATTGGCTACCGATGATGAACCTTTGCGGTGCTACCAATGTCGCGTCGAGAAGAACGAAGATTGCACGGACGAATATCTACGCGAGTGCCCGACTGACCAAGCCTACGACGTCTGCATGGTCAGCGTGATTAACAATGGTAGGTTCCTGTGTACATTCGATTATGTATGTATTGCTTACATTAGAAGCGCTTGATTTTGATAACTATATGCTTATGTTAACGGCACATCGATGTGTTCAGGTAAGAAATGTTTCTATAGTGAGGCATCACAGAGGTATTCGGGAAACAACATAAAGGACTCGATCACAAAAGCCCTAAAAGTTACACTGCTTGTTTTTATTTGTTGCTACCAAATTCTTATTAACACTCGTGATTTTGAGACGTCGATTTCGAAGAGGGTTTATGGTCACTTAGGTAACGATAAATAGCAAATAGTAAGCATTTCAACAATAAGACATGGAATAACAATTAAAAGTCGGATATAAGTTTTAATAAAATCCTACTTATTGGGTTTGAACTTGAACCATTTTAATTTTCCATCGGACGTGAAATGCAGCGCTTCGTTCAAATTCGGGTAATAAATTTATTTACCATATGTTCGTCGTTGCTCTTCACGACTTTCTTTCATCTCTAAACCAACTTATCTATTCTTTCATGCCAGAAGCTTCTGGGTGCCATGCTGAAGGATTATTTAAATGGGTTTTGAAGTCCTTCTCACTGTCAAATGAACGGTTTCGAAGCAATCGGAAAAAGTGATAATCCGTTAAAGCGAGGTCTGAAATATATGGTGGGTGCAGAACAACTTAACACTTAAGCTTTTGCAAAATGCTTCTCGCAATATTTCCCATGGCATTGCCGTGATTTTGCTTCGTGCATCAAGTTTTTCCTTGGATAGTTCGTTCGCCCCATATGGCTAGGCCGGATACAGATCCTTATTGACCAGCTTGTTCTTTTAAAGCGTTTTTCGTGTATAAGATCCCTGCAGTGTTACCGAAAGCCAATCGTCATTGTTTTAAATTAGAGATTCAGCTCAACTCTGGGTACACGTATCTCTCGGAGCTACATATTCGTTTTACTGCTTTGTGCCGAACTGGGGATACTACTTCTCGTCACCGATGACAACTCTGTGTAGAATCATGTAATTTGTTAAATCTCAATAGGAAGCGCTGTTTCCTTACGCTTTATTCATCGTACATTTAGGCTTTTAATTTCTTTAAACCCAAAGAGTCCGTTGTGATAGTCCACTAAGTTATAGAGTCTGCGCCGTACACAAGCAAATATCTTACCTTGAAGTGGCGTATTTTACTCTCGGTGGAGGCGATATAGGGTAAATGTCAAAGAAACACACTTTTCTTCCTTTGGGAAATTAATCTCTAAGGCCTAAACCAGAGATAAAATTAAATTTTTCCCCATTTCTACAAATTCACAACGAATTAACAAAGCAGAGAGCGTTTTTGAATGATATGTGACTATACAGGAATCGTGGAGAGGTAACAAAAGAAAAGGGAACAAAAAAGGAAACCACTTATGTCCTAATCTAGTATTCACCAGAGTAACAGCATACACTCTTTCGCTTGGACTTAACATATTTCATACCAATTGCAGTTCTACAATGTGAAGAAGAATCACATAACTCTATCAATTACCAAAAAAAGTCCGATGCTTTTTAAGATAAACTGATCCCTATTTCCAAAGATAATTACTTAAATAATTACGTATATTAAGCACGAAGCACAAAAGGAAAAAAGCTTCAGTTGAAATAAGGACTGCTACTGAGATTTTAGGCGACGTTGACATTCCTATAAGAAATTTTTTCCACAATCTTTATATATAGGCCAAACATGAGCTTCATCTTTTGTATTCATTACAGTTCGTGGTATTTTTTTACACTCCCATCAAAAAAGGATGCCCCAGGCAAAAACATCTGTATTTACATTGACCACCTTTAGTACGTTAGAAGTGTTCCCGAAGACATGATGCACGCGACTTGCAGATCGAGTTTTGCATTTTCGATTTGCGCCTCTGGATTATAGTATTTTTCGTATATTGTATATAGGTCTCGTTACGGTATTGTACAAACAATCAAGACTCAAGATTTTCAACATTTCTTCCCCACTAATTATGTGCAATTGGAAGTACACACAGGTAGTTAATTTTGGAAACTTCGGTCTTTTCTTTGCATACTCGGCGCTGTATATCTATAAAAAAAAAAAAAAAAGCTATATGGTTTTTTTTGCTTCTGTATTATTAATTTTATCTACAACGTTAATTTTTGTTGCTGAAAAACAGTATTTGCGCCTCACTAGAAAGCGTATTTCACCTGGGTTAGCTGCATCTGTACATTACGCAAACATTAATAAAGTCCAATATTCGCTTATATAATTTTGTCAGAGAAAAGTTAGTTTCTGCGTCAAAAGTTCAGTGAGATATCGACCCTAAGAACGATATAAGAACTACATACAATGAGATTTCTTGGACAAATCATTGAACTTTGTTTATTTTAACTATGCTGTAAAAGCTCGATCGATGCACGTAAATGAAGCCGTTTTTTTTTCCAATACTGCCTTTTCGTTTGTTGATTTGTTCGGTGCCTCAGGTCAGATACGCAAATGTCATACCAAAAAAAGTTAACAGATCGTCCTTATAATTCATAAGGAAAAATCACGTAAGTACGCCTGTTTGGTGTATTCGGTGCGGGCTCGCCTATACAAAGTCTTATATAGGGTTATTATAGAATTGATTTATTAAAATTGTGTTAAAATTGAAAAAAGCTAGAAAAAATGTAACGACATAAGGTCTTACGTTTCATCTGCCTCGATTTTCTTTAAATAGGATAAATACAGCCTTATGAGTCATTTCGTTTTAAGAACTTCGAAATTTCTTGATTTTGATTTTCTTGTAGAAATTTTCGAAATCGACCTAATATCAAGCAGAAAAACTTTCGTTCAACAGGTTTTCTGATTTCATACTTTTAAAATTCGATATTTTATTGGATTGCTTCAGGTTACTTATATTTGGACATAATTACTTTGCGGTACATCCGCTATTGTTAAAAATCTCACTATAATTACATTTCCTATCTTTAACCAAAAATCAATAACAATACATATTTCAATATTTACTACTTTTATTTACTTTCTTTTGGAAAAATATCTTTGTATTGTTCCGTCTTTCGCTTTATTCATCGTCTGGGCAATAGTACTATGAAAATCTATTGAAAATGTTAGGTATTTTTTTTAAATTTCGGGAATTTTATAAATTCTAGGCACTTTCAAAGGTACCAAAATATATTGACAGTCTACTATGAATAGTGTAGTATTATAGCATTGTTATTGAACTGAAAAAAATCATCCATAATATAAGTGAAAAATTTAACTTGTAAATATACGTGTGAAGATGCATCTTCAACAAATCTTGGACATGCTATTCTGCAAAAATTCTATGATAGATACACTGAGTGATAATTGTGTTTACTACCAAATGAGCTTGTCTCGAAAGGTGTCAGTATTTGCCCTTATTTCTGATTCGAAACTAAGAAATCTATCAAGTGATACTAGTTACATTTCTTTTCCGTAAAAAAAAAGTCAAAGTTCATTTTGTGCGATTTAAAACGGTAGCAGTTTAAACAAGCTGATACTGCCAGTACGAGATCGGCATTATAAGTTTTACCCCAAGCTATATTTCTTTACGTTTATCCAAAACAAATTTACAACTTTTTTTTGTATATTGATTGTAAGTTTTGCTTCTAGTTATATGAGTTAAATGATTCTATTACCCGTATAATAAATTACCATATCTGTTAATCCAATTAGTTTCTTGCAATTTCGTTACAGAAATCACTCTCCGGAAAAACCGAGCTGAGAAAATACATACAAATAGGTTAGGAATCCGAAAATCGACTTTCCTTTTCCGCCTAGACAGAAATCTACAATTTTCTTCGTCTTATTAGATTACTTCTGATTATTTTGATTTTCAGGAAGTTTTTCATTTTTTGTATTTTAGTATGCGTTAGAATTGTCTAAAGGTCGCGTTATTTTTTTTTTTACTATATTTGTCTTTGAAGCGAGTTGCAATGTTTGCTTGTAGATAAAACGCCGCGTGAATTGGCTAAGTATAACTTGAATATTGTTAGCGTTTTATTATAATAGAAAATACCAATAGCAAATATTTTGAGCGTTAACTAAATGCCCAACAATTAACTCGTTGTCGATCTGGTCCTGTGTTAATACCTTGTTTTTATTTACTAATTTTCAGCGGGACACGTCTATATCGAGAAGAAGTGCGCTCTTGGCCCCTGCAGCCTACGCGATCCGAAGCAATCAGATGGCCTTGGATTGGACAAATGCGATCGGAGTCAGAATTCGTATAGTTGCTTTGAATGCTGCAAGGGTAGCGGCTGCAATAGGAGTCCGGCTACACGACGCCGGCCAGCACCTTATCTCGTCTTGATTTTATCTAGTGTTCTTATAGTCACCATGTTCCGGGTAGCGCAAAACGACCTCATTTTGGGTATCTCCCTTGACGCGAGGAGTTAACTAAATAACACTAGATTATTCCGAGCCTAACTTAGACAGTGGCAATACCAGCATCGGCGTTTGCCATGAACACAGAGACAAACCTTCTCTGACCACTAACTTACTAGTCACCGGCCACCCCTCGCAAAATGAAGACAACTAACGAACTAGTCAAAAACTCGATATGTAGTAGCATAAAAGTAATGCTTTTTTAGTAGCAGCGTGTTATCCGTCAGCCAAAAATCGTTCCCACCTGGTACAGCGACCAAGACAACGCAATAGACGGTGATATAAATATTGTATTAGCAATTACGAAGACAAAATAGTTGTATGTACCCACTTGAGGATAAGAGCTCGAGCTAATAACAAACGGGTTTCGTCAAATCGTATTTTCCATTCCAGTTTGCTCTGGCGACCATCATTTTTACGAGCATGTGAAGCTTTATCATTGAGAGGCCCAGTCAGTTGTTTGGAAAAGGATGACTACAATGAGATGCTAATGTAGATCACCTCGGAAACGCTTCACAGTGCTCGTCGGCATTATCTCGATACCTGAAGCTTCAATGTCACCATCAGATGTGAAGTATAACTTCAGAAGCTGGATGTCTGTTGTCGCGCCTTACGTCAGGCGAGCGGGCAGGCACCAGATAGAACATCGTGATTATTTTCTTGGCGGTCCTTGGAGGGTGCTAGGTGTGAGTTGATGTCCTCCTGAAAGGAGAAAAGGCTGCTCATTTAGAAGCACAGCTAATAAGCCTCTTGGGTGGCGGTCTTCTCCCTCTAACATTGCGTTCATTCATACTAATACATAGGCAAGTAGCGCTAGTAACCCTACGCCACTGACAGAAATATTGTTACCTGTATATTTTGTTTGACCAGAGTGCATTGAGTTTTTCCATGTAGTCAAACTTTTGGGTGAGGAGGAGCAGAAGTAGTAGATACCAAATTTTATTTCACTTATTAAAAATCTTTTAAAAAAAATAATCACTAAATTGACTAGTTGATAAGTCTGACAGGTATCATTGTTTGTCATAGTATTGTTAGTAGATATATATTACCACATAGCAGTAGTAACGGCTGATAATAGCGGCAATCATCATTGAAGTTAATTGAAAATGAAGTAGATTGTCTTGTAGTAGGATGATTTGACGACGTCCTGCATTGTGTCCTTAGTTAACCTACAATCAAATAGTAACTAAATAACCTAATAGCAAACCTATAATTATTCCAACAACTAATTCCTTTTAATAACAACAACAATATTTGCCACTAGTGAAAAATACTATTAATACAACCGTCATCGATAATGATCATCACTACCGCTTCGAGTTAAAGGATACTACCGTTCTATATACACCGAAACATGACTAAAGAAAAACATACATAGAAAAAAAATGATTGAAAACCAAAATATATGAATAGACAAGTGCATGCATATTTAAATGCAAAGAAACTATGACGCTTTGCACCCTGAAAATCACGCAGTTCTAAAGGCAAACCAAACTCCTAGACCTGTTCAGTTGATTTAACTCAAATTCTTACCCATCGCATCGTGATAACGTCCACCGTTAATAATAATAATGATAATGAGAAAAATTACGGCGTTCCCCTCAAAAATTTAGCAGTCGGTTTGCAAAATTTTTGTATGAATGTGGCTCCCATAGTGATGGATGCGAATCAGGAACTAGTCAGATCCATCCCGAAATACGGAGCTTTGTACGACGTACAAAGCAATCTATTTAACATGCAGCTTCAACTCACTCAAAATGAGTCCGTTTGAGATAATCTTCAGCGACTTGGCACCACAAATTTTACGATCGTAATGTTAGCTATTAGTCAGATGGGTACGACGGAGGGTGTGGTGCAAATGCGAAGTAACACGGTTAGCCTAGATAAAGCGAGAAGTAAACTGAAAAAGCTGTTCAACGTCATAATGGTATCTGTAAACTATATAAATAGCAGTTTCGTTTCAGTATTTCTTGGAATTTGTTGCAGTTTCAACAGTTTCGTCAGATGTTCGATAAGCCCTTATTGTGAGCAGCAGTAGGGGGCAATTTCGGTTGTAGGGAGAAGCAAACCCGCTTTTGTAATTTTTTGATGGCTGACACATAGCGAAAACCTCCCTTTTCGCAAACCTGAAGCATTGATTGGAACTTACCGACTCGAACTAACTACGTCGAACCAACTTAATAACAAGAAATGTCGCAGGTTAAACACACTAGTTGACTCCAGACCAACACAGCACTGTCACCGCATTTGTGGGGCGTTCCAGATAAATATTGTCAAATTTTACTGTTTCAGCAACCCAGAACGGATGATATGGGGTTGTCTGAAAGCGGAAAGATCTCCGACGGAATCTACTACCATGACGAGTGAACTAGTTACACGAACTGCTAGGAGGACGTCATTGCTGTCCGAAGTTTTCCATTATACTTTCTATCTAGCTGGCTGTATCTGTCATCGATTCACCAGTCGACAACTATAATGATAATGACTTGTGCTCCGTTGAATATTATTATTATTATTATTATCTACTATTATCGAAACATGTGTACGTACATTGTTCAATTCTCGAACATTTATATTCTTATTATCCTATAATTATTGTAACTATTTGTCGCATGTTCGTAGAAACATGGCGTGAATGAATCAACAACATAATACGGCACAGGATTAGTAAATAACTAAATTCATCGTGACAACTTGTGGTATCTGAAGAGCAATTCACGAACGAAAAACATGGAAGCTCACTGTGGTCGCTATACTTTCCTCCCACTTATATTTACCTGCACAAAAAACACGTGATATGCTATTGAGAATTTCCGTCATCCCGAGATGGCGCGTTTTTACCACCGCTTCGGCCCAGCTCAGTTGTTTATTTAGCGCCCAAATGGTTAAAATACACAATTATATAAATCCTCGTCACGTGACAACTGCAATTGTTGTTTTTTTGTAATGAAAATAGTTACTCTTTTTTTGTTGCTGTTGCTCCGCCAAGGGCTTGGTAGTACCACAAATGAATGCTACAAGCGACTAGATCTTAGTTTTTAAGTTTGTGCATAATTAAATTTGATGCCTACCACATTCTATTTTATGACTACGCATCAATACTCTACATATAACTTGCACACCTTCTCGTAATAATACGTTCGAGAAACAGCAGTGAAATTGACGCGCCGCCCCTGCATCGTGTACCGTTAAAGTTTTCGATTTTCGCACTCGATCGTTAAAAGTGAATAAACATTTCTAGACTGTGTGTGTTTTTTTATCTTCCGGCGGCTTTTGCAGCGAATTCGAGCGGCGACTTTCGGTTCTACTTGCGAATCTTGCAGTGTATTTTAGTATAACTGCGTTTCTTACTAAATGGCCATTAATGGCTCATACCAGCTTCAAATGAATGTAAGAAGCATTGTTTTCATGGGGCAAGCATACCCCGCTGTTCCTCCGGGAAAGAGCCTTGGTCGCCCGGTCGATATTTGTTGGCAACAACTGCATTAGATATTTACAATGCCATTTAACGGAAAGTACGCAGAAACTGCAACGGCTCGGCTCTCGGGGACCCCAACATGATGCAGTCGTTGGACGCGAACCTGCCGAGGACGGAGGAGGCGCACAGCGGACCAGCTGGCCGCCTACCACGGGGAAACATGGCTAAACTAAGTACTTCACCAATTTCGCTGTTGACGTGAAAAATGGGTCGATCATTGACGATTGCCAGTATGTCTGCAAACGTTTGCGGAGTTCCTCAGGGCTGGTAAAGTTTCGGCACTAGCGTCTGCTCGAGAGCGTTTTTATTGTGACGACGAGGTTCTCGGTAAATCCGTTTCTCCAAGGTGCGCGTCAGCAAGCGAACAACCGGGATCACAAGATCGCAAGAAGATTTCGGTATTGGCCTGATGCTTGCCGTCATTCGCAGAAATGGTTGTCTGGTGTCGCAGATGAACTGGCGATTCGTCGGAAGCGCAACGATAAAGTGCCGGATCGCACGATGCGTCTTCGGCTCGGTCATATCTGTCACAGGTTTCAAATGAACAACGTTAGCGCTAGCTTACGTGAACAGACATGTCTGCACTTGATCACCTCGCTTATTGTGGATCCGACGACCGAAAACACAGCCTCCGAGCAGAGCGTTTACGATTCGCCGGCTATGGAAAACCCAATAGCGCCGTCGGAACGCTTTCAACACAATGTTCACGCCGAGATGTGCGTTCAGAGGCTAATGATGCAGTACAAGTAATGTCGCCGAGTGTAAACTGTCCCAAACTATAATTGCATTTTACTTATCAAAGCTAAGTTGCGTACATGCACAAAATATACCAGTCCTGTCATGGAACCGATGATGCGCGTTAAGTTTGGACAACTACGTCTGGGCGTCTCCCGACTGCGAAGTAACTTTGCTGAATGGCTTCGAGACAGCACAGTAAGTTAGCTCTGGTCCAAAGCGCAGTCTTAGAAACTGGCGATTGGCAACGACAGCCATGTGCAAATATTATCACACTTGCCACAATCCGAATTGCCTTTTTTCAATTATCGACGCGGGAAAGGCCACGTGCGGGGTCGCGTTTATTACGAGAAATTCACTGATTACTGACTCATTCGTATTGCTACTCCACTGTGACCTTAACACCGGTCGCTTCTCCTCAGGTTCAGTAAGGCAAGCAGTGCCCAGCCACCAGCACTTATTTTTAAAGAGATTAATCCCTGACGTACCACGCTCAAGCCGTCGGCGATGCTTACGTTACCAGCAAAGTATCATATGGCGAGTTGCTAATATGGTTACAAACGAACGTTGTGCAGCACTAACGTCCCTCGGCAGTGCACCAGTAATAGTTAATTTTTTCATCGACGATAATTCTTGACTTCACCATAAAAAGCAGCTGCTACCGTGAAGGCTTGTTCGTTTATATTCCCAAAAACGTGCAATAGGTGGGCGATGAGCATTTTGCCCGGTGCGCCGTCCAGACGGACAGTGTACAGTCATGACAGGGTGGTTATTTCGCTAACCTGTGATTGAAATATACCGTGCAACTGACCATCGCCTGGCTCGTCCTATTATGCCATATTTGCTGAATCAGAAGCTTGCCGCGCGACGTGAATGGAATCAAGCGTTTGATATGATTGTACACTGAAGCATCAATTCGGAATATGTCTGTCTTTCTTGGTGACGCGTTGCAAGTCGGCAATTGGTTTAGCGAGTTTGACAACGAAAGCGATCACAACTTAAGGCCCAGACGATACTAAACGCCTTAAATACCAGCTAAATAGTTGACGATGGCAACTGCGCTGACTTGGATAGTCCGAAGACGAAAAGCGACTTTTACCTCCACCATAGACAGTTCCACGTCGGCAGAATCTAGGATCGCATAGTACGATCGACGAACGTAACAACTTGATTGGTCCAACACTTGGTGAACAAATCATCGAAATACGTCGACTCATCGAGCCGGTAGACAGAATTAAGATCAACACGCTTCAGGTGCTCATGGCAGACCGCTGCTAGAAGGAAGCCATTTGAAGTAACATCCCAAGTAACTAACTGAATCCCGAAAACGCGTAAAGCTATATCTTCTGGTTGCCAGAGGAACGGGCAGTTAGTTCAATTAACTTTCGTGTCATCATGGCAACATCAGCTGACAAAGTGATGCGGTTCCGGAGGAAAATAAACAAGAGCACGATGATACTCGGGTTTAGGTTTAACCCAGGAAACCTACCTTTTGTTGGAGACCATAACAAAGCAGCCGAAAGCTATCCTCCAATTTTTTCCAATTTTGCTAATTTTCACGATTGCATGAAATACGTGTTGTCTTGCGCGCTTCATGCTGTAAAGTCAACGTCGGTGATTTCTTTTGAACTCGAAGTTTTTTGCTAAGTCTTTAGCGGAATTCGTCGCTTTGCCATCAAACGATTACAAGCGACCTTGAGATTATTCAATTGTCGAACGTTGCGGTCGAACCGCGTTTTGGTGTTGCTACCTAATATAAGCTGGCCTTATAAGTGATTAAACAGTTGAACTGTTATAGCTTGTCTACAGAGCATTGATTTCGAACGCTTCAAGCGACCCCAGACGTCCTTCGCCAACAACAGGCAGAACTCGATTGTTATCGCAACGCTCGGCATACACTCTGAAGCTGTCGCTGTCAAATCAACAGAAGCGAAATTTTTAAGACCACTGGCGACCTTTTTTCCACGCTCACAAAAGGGGACTTGAAAAATTGGCGCACTCAGTTAATAAGAACATCTCCGCTATTGAAGCTTCGTCGATTGTAGATTGATTGTCATGAGCCAGATTGCGTATGACGTTTCGCATTTATATCGCAATATGTGGGTCCGCTTCGAAATGACGTGCTTAGGCAAACAAATTGATTAGCGCTGGCCCGTCATGAATGCTGGCAAATGTCGGGCAGCCTTTTGATTAATCCGGAAGTCGCAAACGTAACCATTGAACCAGGAACCGCCTATACAATACAAGCGACGACGATCCAGCAGTTGGTATCGACCATTATAGTAGTTTCTCGTTTCATAAACACTACACGCAACCCTCGGACCTTCACGGCGGATCGGAAGAAAATGCCACATTTTGAAGTACACCGCGTATTTTCCACCTACATCACGACGTTGTCAGTACGCGAGCTGTGCAGTGAACCTTGTTTCGGACTCAGGTGCTTTTATAGATTCGCAGTGAATCTATATCGAGAACGACGCGGACGACCTTCTTTTTCATTGGCGCTGTTGGTTTGCGATTAATGCTATTTATGTTAACACTTAGCGACTATTGTTGACGCTGTCTTTAGGAGGGATCTGTCCCGGTGGACACACATACCACAGATGCCACAGTGGCGTTAGGCAACGCGTTGCAAGTTCTGCCGGACGTCGGCTCTCCACCCTAGAGCTGAATGACGGTCTCGGTCTTCAAGGTTTAAAATTACGCCAGTCGACAAAGTCCACCTTACTTTAATTTTGAGGTCATTGAGAGATCCTCGAAGGGGAATTGGCCGTTTCCATTGAAAGTGTCGTCCGCCTAGTCACACTCATGCATAGTAACAATACCAGTTTGCTACTTTACCGTAGGCACAGTTATGGCGCTTGCTATTATGGCCTTTTTCTCGGCATCCGATACCATATACCTGCCATAAAACAGCTTTAAAGCTAATGTGTAGCTATCGTCAGATAACGGCAGGGTCGAGATCAACTGTTACGAGGCCCCTTGTAGTAACCAGGCCAGCGCAACGGTTTTGTCGTTCTCAGTTGCAGTATCCCACTGCTTGAAGTAGCCAACTGAGCTCGTCACATCATCTTCTTCGTTGGAAAATGTTAGTTTTCACGTCAACTATCTCTGGGGCAGCGTCCAGTAGACTTGAAACGGCAATATATGTAAACACAGCTGTTGTTGTCAACCAGTGGCAGTGCAGGTTTAGCGTGGTCATTAACGATTTGAGGTCACCCACCCTGCACATTTCTAAGGACGGCTGACCGCTAGCGGCTACAATTGCCAGGACGAATTTGTCGGTCGATCTACAAGGATGCTCTTATGTGATTGAACCTTCCCGCTTCTCTCTCCATTTTAGAATCTGAAAACGCTTTACACACATGGCGCGGGGTGATGCTGGCAGTTTTTTTTTTATGTGAAACACAGTTTTTCTGGGGCAAACGTTCTTAACGATGGGTCGGCATTGTTGTAATCGGCAGCACTACTGGTGGCATTTGAAGAGGGGTTGGCAAGGAAAGTGCTATATGTGATGTGCTGTAGATTCATCGTGCTCCCTGTACTTTACTTTTTTTTAATAATTATCTACACGGAAAACGCGTACTGTCGAGAATTTCCGTGAATCTGAGATAGCACGTGTTTGGTTTATTATCCCTTGCGGCATTGCCTACTTTTACCGCCATTTTGGTGCAGCCCATTTATGATTAGTTTGCGCATAAAATCATATATATTACACAATACATAAGTCTTGATAATTGAAACTGTTATTTTGTTCATTTCACAGTTTCTTCTAGTACCTCTGTCATTGTCTTATCCCTGTTGTTTTTACCGCGTAACCCGCTAAGGCTTGGCAGTATTATAAACTGACGCCGCAAGAGGTCGCTTTAGTTTCTAAGCAGCGAGCACGTAGTATGCTTCGATGAATATACGAATTCATAATGCGACAACAAATCGACACTCTTCTATAACAATATATTCGAGAACATGTATATATATCTACACACACATCTGTTCACTAATAATGTAAAATTACAAATGTTTATCGGTGCTGTGACTATTTCCAACCGTAATACCTTTGATCATTGACTGGAAAAACGCCTTTGGCTTGTGAATGTTCACGAGTCGTGTTATTATATGTGCCAATGCAGTAAGCCGCCATGTTCTCAGGACGTATAACCAATGTGATTGATGGTTGTATCATGAAACACAGTATTAAGAAATTATTATGGTAAAAAAATAATAATCCTAACCTAGAAAATCGAAGCCGCAATAATGGGTTTAGACTATTCGTTGTTAACACGTAGCTCTCACCATAGGATTCTCTGTTCACTTGATTTAGTCACGTAAATAAAGCGAGTTTATTGAAAAGCCGTCTGAGTTCTTCGCGCTTTTGTCGCAGTTTTAAATATAAGCCATTAAGTGTATTACGCTGTTGCTTAAAATTTTACAGGATAAAGCTTTCGTTAAGAACTGACAAATTCGTCGAATGGGAAACAAATTTATAACAATCCGGAACAGTTCTCTTTTCAAACAAACCTTTGGCATTGATGGTCTGTAAACATTGAGAGATCGAAGTATACGCGTGACTATTGAAATTACATCCCCTAGTTCCTAAATAGGTCCACAATTTCATCGTGGTCTAATCCTTAGATCGTTTTGTCTAACCGCAATTTGAAGTGATTTTTCGCGTACACTAAGTGTTTGAATACTACTTTTCCCGTGATAGAAATTTTCATTTCGTATTTACTATAAATGACCAATGGTCCTAGATGTTGCAAACGGTCTCTACTTAAAACGATGATCGAATTCAATGTGTGGCGTATTCCTCCGTAAGCTTACTGTCAACATAAAGAGACAGGCGAGGGTAAATAAGTGTAGACGTAGCTGATGTTTCTAATCAGAAGGTCTGATTGTGTGGTCAGCCTCACAATTGGACACTAAAACGAGTTAATTTTGCGCGAAAAAGGAAAGCGAAAAAGGAAACACAAAAAAGCGACTGCCAATAGTTCAAGACTAAGAGTAAATCAGTTAATAGTATATATTGGGAAAAAACAAACGCGTAGTCTTAAACGCTACTGGGTTAACCGGCACGGTTAGAGATATAGAACTGATCAAAGACTTTTCTTGCTTACAAAACATAAGCGAGATAAAACTTTGCACACGAAACAAAGTTGAAAACAATTCAAAAGCAGAAAACATCGCAACATATATCCAGATTATATGGCTGAATGCATAATCAAGCCTCTTTACTACCTCAGTGCGTTACAAAATGTTTGGCTTATACGGTATTATTTCAAATATTTCAAATTATTTATTATTCAACAACAAAAATAAATTGAATTATTAAAAGAAATGTATCAAAGTATATGTCAAGTTCTTTGTTTCATAAACTAGTTTCTATATAGACCCATAAAACAATAATAAAATTGAAGAAGGGAGCTCTAGAGAGAGTGAAGTTAGGTGAAGCTTGAACAAACTTGGATGTGACATTATCTTATAGATGGTTAATATTAATAGATTTCGCAATAATAATAGCATGAATAGTCAATCTACATCCTACAGTGCAATCATCAGAAGAATTGAGAACATTCTTCAGTCTACATTGACGGTATATTTGCCGGTAAATACAATATCCATTAATAGAGAAAACGTTGATTATAATCGTACTATTATTATCATATAATGAATACTCTATAAAATGAAACTAACTGAGAAATCATCGTGTTTGCATTTTCTTTTTAATAATGAAATGAAAATTATTAATTTTCTATGAACGTAAAGTTACCACTCTTTTATTACGATAAATTACTACTCTTTAGTATAGCTTAGCTATCAGTTCGACGGTAAAATGTATTACATAAAAAATTATATTGAAATGTATTAAGAACAAACACAATGGGCGAAAATATTATACCATAATAATCTACAAATTAACCATCACAATGTTAATGAATCTATATAAATTTTATTTATAGCAAACGATATGAGAATATCAAGTTAATAATATTTGAACATTTTTAGTCATTGCAATGTTTGTTTTTCTTCGATTTTTGTATAAGTTTTCATCAGTCTCACTTTGACTGTTCACGGGAAAAATGTTGAAGCGTTGATATATGGGTGTCTTTTCAGACGTTTGATGATAAGGATTTGATGCTGATCAAAGAGAATAAAAACTGATGTATAATTGTGAAAGTGCCAAGACGTTAATGATACAAATCAGTCTGAAATGCCTGAAATCGTCAGATGCCTCAGTTGATTCCCATCTTGAAAAAATATATTATCTACACTTCCTACCCTTTGAGATAATAGACGCCCTCGGATAAATGGCTGCGTACTGATTCGAAATTCATCGTAGGAACCTTATAGTGCCGAACGAATTCTGCCGGTTTGGCTACTTTCACTCTTAAAAAAAGTCGTTTTAAAATTTTAAGAAAATTGCATTTAAAACAACGTGTATTTACGTACAGAGAACTGGATACGTGCAAAAAAAACTTGCACGAGCACGATGCAATCAGAAAAAATGTACGGTATGTATCTCTTTACAGTCTCGACTTTAGAGACGTTTGCCGTTGTAGTGCTTCGCTGGTGGAAACCCGCGACTCAAATCCTGCTCATCTTTATTATTCAGTCATAGTAATAATATCTGTGATATAACACACGAAAAGTAAACAAAAATGAAAAACATTGCAAACCTTCCACCAACCAAGGCTTAAGGTTAACATAAAACTGTAACAGGTTATTATTGTTTGCTCGAGAGCTATAATTTTAGGCAAAACATTCGTCTCTACACTCAAAGCAGGTATACAGGGTGGTTTGGCTAAATGGTGACCTTCCTTTATGTATTATACATTGTATCAGATATGTATTCATTGTAATCACAAAACCACCGCTAATATATATGCCGATCTGTACCACGTTCACGTACAGGTTGTTATATTCCTAATACTCGTTGTGCATCCGATCGCGCTGCCAAAGTGTCTCAGCGTGCGACCGTCGTATACGCCATATATGGAGAACATCGACTGACGTTCTCCATAAACTATTCTGCTCACGGTAGTCAAAAGCCCGTTAAACTATGTGTTTTTTTCGTGTTTCACTTCAGGTTCTTGAACTGTTAGGCATTTGCTCAGGCGACAAGTTACCAGTACGAAGTCCACAGAAGTAGCACCGTAACTTGTTCGATAATTAATGAAAATACCTTCGCGCTGTTCTGAGCTTCCCCCCCCGTCCTACTCTTTTCATTTAATGCAGCCGCCCAAACCGGATGGCTACGGACAAGATGCAACCGACAACTGTCGGGCATTCTCTATACAACCAGAGTGTCAAGTGGAAAATGCCCTCCAGTCGTCTATAATATATTGTGTCATAATTGAACTACATAAATTAATTGCATTTGTTATGGCTATATACATTAGTTTCGCTAGTAATGTATGGGAATCTCTACATAATGTTACATGTTTAGCTCAGGGATAAATAATTTTTTTCATAATAATAGAATAAATTTATCTAGATATATATGATGGCGTAGTGGCAAGAGAAATGTCTAGACAAACAACGAGACGGATAAAGCAACCCTTTCTCTAATAAAGGATAGCTGACTTATTTATTTCGACTGGTCTGCTGTACGACTCCTCAATCTAATGCCGTGAACTCTAACGTGCAACACACACACCAACATATACACGTACCCACAAATATATATTATAACCAATCAATATATGAGGTACTCCATATAGTATCTAATATTTCATTCTATTTCTAACAGTTACTTGCATTGACGATAGGCGAAATCAAAGTCTTCGTAGTACTTTATTGACCCAAAGTCCTTGGTACAGAGATATCGTTTTCTTCACTTACTTACCCATTTCAGCAACTTACAACTATTACACAGTATATGCTACTAGAAATTTTACGCATTTTATGCAGCACTGATTGGAGAACAGTAGTGTTTGCAACAGGATGAGTTCGTTGAAACGGAACACGGTATACAGTTAGAATTTATATCTGGTGGAAACAGCTAACTCTACGCATTCGCTATGGGTAGTAACCCGATTAAAGGGTGATCGCGCCAGGAGGACAGTCTTCAAATTTTTCCCCATTAGAAATTTGATTCAAGAAGCTCACGCATTTAAGTATTGACATAGAGATTTACCGCCTTCCAGAAGAGATTCGTTTGAATTTGCTCAAAGAAAACAATACAGTGACCGATTTTTAGACCTAGTTTTACACACTGAGTTTTACAATATTCATGTTTGTACAAAGCATACAGATACATATGTTTACATCATTTCTTTCGTCGTATTGGCAAAACATAATATACTATACGTGTCACGTACATGTGTCGGATGCCTATTCGAAATCAAAGAATTTTAAGTCGAGCCTCGCTACTTTTGTTTACGAATGGTACGTAGAAGGTTCTTTGCGAGTCTTGCAATGTTGCTTCCTCCTCTGAATTTAACCCGTTCCAACCATCTTGTTCGATACCTTCAGCGTGAAGGTTAGATGTCTTCCTCCGGGCCGCTTTACGGTTTCGCCAGATAGTTTGAGTTAACCAAGTACCTATAAAGAAAGATCGGTCAAGATTAAACCTAAAAGATGAGTAACCTATTTTAAGATAGAATTTGAGTGTAGCAACCTGTATTTTTAGGTCACCATAACGGTGTATATTCATCATAGTTTCACTCCACGTCGATATTCCAGGGTTGAAAAAAAGTCTTTGGTCCGCCATAGTTGTAACCGTATCCTGGTTTTAGACTGTTTATTAAATGTTCAAGTAATCGTTCAAACGAATTGTGTGCATCGAGCAATAAGTACCACATCCGGGGGCTTCAATGATGCCAAAACACTGGCGTCCGTATTACGTATTTCAGTTTACACAGTGATATCATTGCTTCTACTAAGCGTAACCATTTGATGAAACGGACAATAAGAGAAAATCGTCTAAAGAGTATCATGTATGTAATAACATACCCATAGATCCAATATAACACGTTATATTATATATCGCAGTTCCTAATGGAAACCAAAACAATCCTAACCGGCAATAACACTAAGTGCTGTTACAAGACCACAGAAGTTCCAGAAGACAAACACGCTGTAAAAGAACGTGCTTTGATGCCGAGACCAAGAGGTGCTCTCTAGAATGTCAGTGGAATCCATCGTGGAATAGTACGGCGTCAGTTCTATCTGGGAAATTCCTAATTTCAATTATAATAATTAGACCACCTTTTTTTCTACTCATATAACTTTCAGTACTTTGCTCAGTAGCAGCACACCGTCCTCATCATGAAATATAGTCTCCTTTCTTTTCCTTCACTTGTTTACGAAACCCTCGTGAATTTCTTATCTTGTATGAATTAAAAGCACTCAAGTCTGATACTTTTTTAACACACGCTAAAATGTATTCTGGTTCTTCATATTAACAAGAACTTCTCTAATTCTACTTGCTTCGATTTGTGCGCTTTCTTCTAAAATCTTTTGTAAAAGAAGCACGTGGAACAGAGCTGCAGACCACTGTTTTTGTTCTGCTCTCTATATGCAGGTTTCGTTAAAGCCTATGAATGTTCTCGGGTATGTTTGTGTGTCGATGATGCGTGGAGAGAGGGAATGCAACAAACACTTCTGGCAAATACAACAAGAAGGATCATCAACGAGGTAGTTTATTGCACTTGTTAGAACCTCTTAGTAGGAACCCGATTCCAAAATGTCCGCTATCTGTTTCGATGTTAGCGCTTCAAATAGAATCGACGCGAACAAACAAAGGCTTTTGCACGTAAGTGGTCTCTCAATGACAATTCAACCAGCAGCTGATGGCAAAGAACAACAACGTTTCCTTGTAGTAATCCACATTGTGAACGTCATTTAGAGCTTTAAATTAACGGTGTGTGCACGTTCTAAAATGCATGAGTTCATACCAATATGTCTATCATTTGTTTTTAAATTGCTGTTAAATAAATAAAACTTTTGCTCAACAACGCTATATATAGTTCAGACTTAAGAATCTTATACGTTGTGGATTTGGCCCATGCATGTTTAATAACATCGGATTACTATTTCGACCCGCGGCATTATATACATTTCCATATTTGTATGAAACTAACAACTATTCTCATACCCTTTAGTTTCTATAAAGACAGAGCGGCTGAGTCGAATCAGATAAATTACGTTCCGAGATAGCCCAGGAGTTGTTTACTTTTGCTTTGGGGACAGTCATGCCTTAATCTACAAGTACGGCTTAATCTTTGGATCGCAAGACGACTTGCTGTATCATCGTAAAAATCATTGTACGGTGCTCTGTTTCTCGGATTTACTCTCAAAAACCTTCGGAGTTTCGTCGCGGTTCGACAAGTGTTAGTCTATTCGGGTCAGTGCAGTGCCTGAGAATTGTACTCAGAAAGCTATGATATTGATCGACGTGATAGTTTTCAGCACACTGAAAGACTTTAACATCGCAGTCTTTGAGTTTACTTAGATCAGTCTTTCGTATAAAGTATGATCAGCGTTTTCTCTCGAACTCTACGTTTCGAGCTTTACATCCGGCATCGCTGTTAGGCGTTCTATCGGACGGCTGGTTCTCAACAGAAAACACAGTCTATCTGTGCCCGGATTCGAACCTAGATTACAGCGTGTCCCTAAGATTAGCCGGCAGATACGCTACCCATAGAGATATTAAGCGTATCGAATATCTAAGAATGTCTCCTTGTGCAATGGATTAGTGCCAAGTCAGCAGCCTATCTTCTAGAAATGAATTATTAAGACCCGTGTGATGGGCAGGTAACTACATGGGCCCTCGAAATGTTAAGCCTTCGTTCATGAATTAATTCCCCTGTGGGTCTCATGTACATTGCAGTGACGAGGTCTGGTAAAGGAAACATTGCCACGGCCCACGTTTCTCTTAAAATTAAGACGTCAGTTGTCGAGTATATTGAGGACGCGATATTGTCGCAATTATTTTAAAAAAAGAAATTTTTTGTAGTTAATTTAAAAGAAAATATATTTTCGCACTTTTTCTAGTTCTATTGTACGTCGTATAAACTGGCTCGTATCCGGCCGCGTTGTCTAGCTCTCGTAGCGCAGCTAGGACGAGGTCGCTAAGAGTCGATCTTATTGGCGATAAAAAATACTTCTTTTCGTCGTCACTGTTGCCGCCGATTTTGGGACCGATGTATGCCCTACAAGTCTGATTCTTACATTGGTGGTTAATGGGCAGGCAGCGAAGCGTTTTGAACTCCCGTCGAAGAGAAAGGCGTTATTCGTCTAAGAAGTATTCCCTTTGCGCTTCTAATTTATATTATCTCCGGCCATTTGATCACAGAAAGGAGCTCGCAAATTTAAACGCTTAAACAAATTGATATCATCAGTGCCTTTTGCGCAGGCAACTACCGACTACTGGCTATTCGTGACAGAGTAAATGTTTCCGTCCCATTTCAACTGCGGCACTGTTCAGTTCTTAGTTCCGAGCGATCAACGTGTCGTGTGTTTCTCATAGAAATTGGGTATTGTCATTACGCCTCGGTCTAGCGGTTCTCAGCTGATCTGCAAATGTTGCTATGGTAAATGACAACTATCCTTCCTTGGATGACATTCGCTCACTCTACATAAATTAGTTGAATTGAATTCTCAAAAAACTTATTTCTTCGTAAAATTATCAATAAAGAATAAAAAATTATTACGCCCAATCGAAAACCTACAGTGATAGGGGGTAGTACAAAATCAATCGCATTATGCTTGGCCATTTATGTTTGGCCATGTGTATTAACCTACAAAAGAGACAATTTGTTTCAGTTTGTTTTCGCCAAATTTACATTTAAGATATTCAAAACAGTGCTAAAAACGCAAACTGGTTATTTTAGTCGCTTATGGCTTCACATGCACTCGACAAAAAGTAGGAAAGCTTTGCCCGTCAAAATTTAGTCACCGAAAAGTTCAGCTATGAGAACGACATTTAATTTCGTATTTAATGAATTTTGAAATGATGATGACGACATTCATGGGAATAAAATCAGCACGCTCCATACATGCAATTCACTACCTCTTCTTCACTATTTGTCTCGTAAGGAGGAGGTTTGAAATCAAATACGTATATTAGGAAATAATTCCAAAGCAAATGCTCACTTAGTAGAACAAGTAAAATAGACTAGGAAGCCATCATCTGCGAACGGACATATAGCGGTCCTCTCGCCCCCTTTGCGAGGCTGGGACTAACCTCCCACCGTCGTTTGTTGTTCTCCTTCTTTGCGCGGCGAGCATCGTAATCCTGAAGGGAGGATGCAACCCCACACCATTTTCGCGCTGACTGCACTGGTTGTAGTGTATTCGTCCGCTGGTTTGGCATCAAAGGTATGAACGTTCATTAACACTTTAGTTTGTTGTCATGCAAAAGTCTTTCAGATACTGAATGGATAACTTTTAATGGAATCTCCATAGCGATCCACGGCCGTTTCCGCCTACTTGCATCGATAACCATGGTTGCAGTATTTAGATTTGGTACTGACGGAAATACTTTCCTTTTCTGTTGCGATGCCGACAAGAACTGTATTTTCTTGAGAAAATTATACCTAGAAAATTCGATTCTATATATAAGTGAAGAACGTGCCATTTTTCAGAATCCGCGTAGGACTCGTGGAGAATTCCGGCAACTGGGTAAGCGACCACAAGAGATGTCGAAATAGATTATATTGTAACCGACTGGCGTGAAACTTAGCAACCGTCGTGCTTGGTCGGAACAGACACCATTCTAAAAATATTGCACTTCTATATCTTTCCTTTACCATTAAGCTTGAGAATATAATAGCGCCCACCTGCATAAGCATTACCCTCGACGCTCAGAATATACCACTTACATTTATAGTTGTATTTATGCCCGTTAGTCTATCTTTTCAATAGCAAACAATTATTGAGTTGTGGTCAAAGCCTTCGTACCACCATTAAAGTTATATGAATAAACCGGCTCTTTTAAGCGTTAATCTCCAACGTTAATTATATTGTTGAAGCAGGTCATATTGTAGCGCCTCTGGCTGTATTGTTAGCCACTATAAACTGTCTGGTATTGTTGTAGGCTTTACACTCGGTAGGTTTGTTGCTATTATCGAACATTTTTTTAATGAAAAGAAGTTTGTGAAATAAAACTGTCCTAACCTAAAAGGGAAAACTTAGACTCTAATGAAAAATGTTTTTTGCTTTGGAAACGCTCTGTTGGAACCACACGTTTTCGAAATACGTTCGATTGAGTTGACACGCAAAAACTGAATTGATATAATCGTTTGTGCGCAGAGTGTTTAAGGACGAATGGTCTAATGACTGCGTCTTCAACCCAAAATCTTCGTCGAACCGTAAAACGTTTAGCATGGATTTGTTTCTCGTGATCTTTCGTTATTACAAATACCACAACTTACAGTTTACGAAGCCATCACCATGAAAACGGAGCTTATTGCCAAAAAAAAAACCTCGTCTTTAACTGTGCTCAACCTGTAGTTGTTCAGTCAGCCAATCGACAAATTTCCTGCACTTGATCTGCTTTTCTATAAAGAATTGCCACATATTTACACTATGGTTAAATGAGAAAGAGGGCGCTCTATTTTATTTGAATTTATATTTTCTGCTCTAATCGAAAGATTCTGTAGTAAAAACATAGAAACAAAAGAAACATAAGTAGATTACAACGATACGATAACTCATCACAAAAACTAGATTTTCAATTTACTTTTAGATGCAAAGGAAATCGAAGAGGAAGAACTTGGTGAGCTTGCGCAGTTCGCAGCAACGACTGTTGCAAAAGCCGAGAAACGAGCCTTTCATGATGCTGTATTGAACATCACCGAAGCACATCAACAAACTGTTGCGGTAAGTAAAACCTACTTATAGGGCTTGAGTTGCCTGTTGATAAGTTAATATTTATTAAACAAATCTATGTTTTATGGAAAAGGTATATATATTCACATATATAAGTCGGTCACAAAGTAATTTCGATTTTATATAGGGTCAAATTTTGTAGGGGATTAAATCTGCTTACGGAAACTATTTTTTTTGGCATTTCGTAATTTTTTACCTTTTTTTTGTTAACAGACGTACCCTAAACGAATGAAAAGGACTTCCACGGAGGCAACCTATTGATAGATTCATTAGACCATGTTGTGTGGATTCGGTTAGTTACGATCTGTTAGGATAGAACAAAAAAAACACGAAAGATATAAGGACATAATCTAATGGGGTCGAACGTTGTTATGTAACAAAAATATTTTGTGCTAGTATATTCAAACTGTCACAATTCAGTGTGAATGAGATGAATTGCAGTCTACATTTACTATTTCCCGTAATTTCCCAAAGCTTACGTAGTGTGCGTCCTCAGTCATCTCCCGATCACATGAGTCGTTCATGTTGAGGCTTATCCGAGGTTTAAATATCCTTTCCTGCGCCAAAAAGTGTTGTTAGAACGGAATTTTGCATCCACGATACCGATTCTGGATCGAGCCAACTGTTTTCTGGAGACGCAAGCAATTATATATAAATAGTCAAATGGTCTGCAACAGGACCTTACTGACTTAGTGGAACATAATACGTTTTAGTGTTCATTTTAATTATTCCTATTGCTGCGTGCAGACGATCAGGGGTAGCGGTACGGTTTACTGCAGGAAGTTCTTAAGGTGACCGCGCTAGATGTCCATACATAACAATAAAGTCTGTAGTTCATTGCCATCGCAGGATGATTGTGTAGAGCGTGCCTTACAGTTTAAATAGGGATCATTAGCGCTAATAAACTGAAAGCAGACGACGTCGGATACTGCCGCGCACCTCTAACAACAATTGTTATTCCTCAGACGCACTCTTTTCAACCGAGAAGTAATGGTCAGAGAGGTGTCGAATTCAACACAGAAATAAATCAAACGGTTAAATAAAATGTCTAGGTAGCCATGTTTGAGAGTGACCAAAATTGCTTTCTGACCGACCCTAAATATATATAAATCTACGACATACAGCGATATATATTCAGACGTTCTTGTATCTGTTCCTTAATTGATGAAATCAATCTTCCCAGGGTTGGAATACGAAAATGAAGCTGGTTGTTTCTGAGACATCATGTCCTATTCACAATCCTTTCGACGTGGGACAATGCATTCCGAAAAATGCCAGTATCACCCGCCAGTGCGATGTGCTCGTTTATGAAAGGCCATGGGAACACATCAAGGAACTTACCTCATTTTATTGTCATTAATAATTTTGATCAAATTATGTGGCTAACATACATATAGTTATACGAATATAAGTTTCCTTGCAATAAATTCAGTTTTGCACGTCAATTACTCTATATAAGCCCGAAATTCACTTTTATAAGGAGCTATTACTCTTTCTTATTATAATTATTTCTATTTTATTTACTAAAAGTAAGAACAAAATTATTTACATATTCGTTTATTTATTTCGTATATTGAAATCGTTTCCATCAACTTAGAAGATAAAGAAGCACAAGATGCACAGAATCGTGTAGATTAAGTGGAATGTATTTTTATTTAAGCTATCCTTTACGATATTTTTTCATCCTAATATCGAGCTGATCTATCTTAATTTCTCAGTTTAGATGATTCTAAATACGATAACTGTAGCAATGTTGCACAATCACGTATGAAAATCTGCTCGAAACAAATTCCAACGGAAATAAAACATTTAGAACAAACTCCTTTGAACCGTTGTTGAGCTTCGTATGTAGCCGTTTAATTAATAAAGCAGGCGTCACCTCGCGATAACATAAAACAGACAAAAAGTCTTTTCAGGAACAAAAATGTCATTCGATAATGGTCTAATAAATCGTCATTGATCTTCTATAAAAAAATTATTTTATTAACAATCTAATATAGCTTTTTTGTATTGTGACGTCCCATATTAATATTGCGCATGTTGCGCGTTGGCCTTAAAGCCAGGCACCAGCACTTGCAGATATTTAACTTCAAATGAGGAATACTACGCTGTTCGGCAAGTAACTGCGATTTTTGTTTATTGCATTGCTTTTCCAGTTCGTTTTTCAACGTCTTCGGCTATTCCAATGTGAACAAGTCCTTGGAATTACCTTTTCGGTGTAGTATCAAGGATTTCCCCCACCTAGAAGATCAAGTCGAAGCGAATCTTGCTGACTTAGCTAAGATTTCCCTAATAGATCTATTAAATGACTTGATAATAATTTATCATAGCAACCATCTGCCAATAATTTAAATCTAACGATGGCTGCATGTCCATGATTACTATGGTGACGCGTTCAAAAGAAGGAGCATTAGCCACCTAGACAACACCGCTCCTTGTTATAACTCGTTTGTTGATAGTTTAACATTATATGGGGATAACCAAGAAAACTTATAAATAATTATGTTCCAATTCAACACCACAATAACAACCCTATTTATGAAAAACTAAAAGTTCATAATATAAGTAGCTATGAGTAAACTAGAATCATAGCGATTCTTTTGAAAACTACATATTAAAAATTCCAGAGTATTATAGCTATGACATATTTTGCCTATCATCGCATTGTTGATAAAATTTTGGTCGTTAATAAAATGGTTCGATCAAACACCGTTCTCCTCAACGTTGCCATGAAGTCACAGGTCGAATCCGATTTATTGATATCTCCGTTTTGTCTCGTGATAAAATTTTACTCAGAGTTTGTATTTCAAAGATGAGCATGTCAGCTAAACAAGAAGTGAATTTACGACACCAAGTTTTCGTTGAACCCAGAACATTGTCCCTCGTATAGTGACAACTCAGCAGCTAAACGATGTAGGCGCATGTAACAATTCTCTGTCTTCAAAACAGGGTCAAAGTAGTCCTTGAACTATAGAAACATACTGAACTGCTTTTGTCAGGTAAAAATGCTAAGCTCGAACGTAGCAGGCCAATTAAAAAATGTATTCTTAGCTTAGATATATGTTGTACATCAGTCGAAAGTTTTTTCGGCAGTTTTTTTTTGCCTCAGTGCACGGCGAGTGTTGAAAATGTTGCTTTCATCATTAGAATACTCATTTTTGGAACTCAATCTCAAGGTTAAACTTTATGATCTGGAGACAAGACGATGACCACATTATATGGGAAAGAAAAGGACTTTCTAACGGTATGTAGCACTTGATCATCAGTAAATGAAAAATTAACGAAACGAAGCAATAAGCGGAAACCATTATTACTTTCTAAACAACCTAATAAAAACATCGTAACGCAAAACCCTAATAATATGAAGCTTACATTAGTACTATAATACAACCAATTTTGTTATTATTATTATTATTGTTACCACAGATATTAAATACTTCCAATGGACAACTGTTCTCCAGTCTGCTAAAGAGGTCGTAAGTAGCTTGTTTTTGTATTAGAATTGTTCACAATGGAAAATGCTTGGTATTCATCCATACTTCTTTTAAGGTACGGTTCAAGTAATTTCTTGCAATTATAAACAAACACATGCGTTACTTACCTTGCCAAATATTAGACGTACGGTTGATTTTTCTTAAGATGAACGTTGTCAATTCAACGACTCTACAATCAACATCGACGGACTATACTTGCAAGGCAACTAACCTCTGCCCTGTTCCTTAGTGAAATGAATATTGAGACAAAAACGAAATAAACCACAACGAGGTAAAAAATTGCTTGCCACCATGTCATGGTGCGACAAAAGCATATGTATACGAATATGCACTATATAAATTTAAAGGAGTATTTGCCACATTAACAGACGGCGCTTATAGGCATTACAAGTGCTAAAACCTAAGTTAAATACCATCGAAGATCTGTAATAGCAAAATGATAAGCTTATTTATGAAGGACAAAGTTGAGAGTATAAGTAGCTATGAATAAACTATAACCATGCAAAACATCAGTCACACACCGATTTTTTTTTAATCATATATTAATAATTCTACAGTGCTATTGTTATAATATTTATTATTTTTCACCGAATCGTTGACAAAATTTCGACTCAATCGAATAATGTTCTCCTCAATGTTGGCACGAGGTCATAGGTCGAACCCAATTACTTATCGTAGCTATCGTAGCAGTAATAGTGGTGTGATTATTATTTTTATTATTATTTTTGATGTCATAATCAACGGTCACCGTGAAACTGCTGTTTATCCTCTTCACTGTCCTTTCTTTCCTTGTTGTTTCGCTTTTTTCTTAGTCGTCTGTCTGCTTGACCGGCCCTCATTTCTTGGAGACGAGGCCTTTTTATGAACACGAGCTCGACACTATAGATATCTATCATTGAAACACTAGTACTATGTCATACGATAAAAATAAAAATGACAGTAATACCATGAATCGTAATAGTAGTAAGACATTATATATATATATATATATATATATATATATATATATATATATGACAGTTGTTGTGATGGCATTTTTACTTATCATTGTAGTGATGTGAATGTATTATACAGAAGAAACAAATCGGTTTCTATGTAGAACTACATTGAAAATGGACAGGGCGGCCGAGGCGTCGGCCAACGTTCCCTGCAATTTTTTCCTCACTGTTTCAACCAAACACTTTGTTTCTATCACCAGCATCTACTTTATCACCCCAAATGTACGTTTTCATTTCCATCATTGTTTTCAGTCCATTTAATTAGCAGGTGGTAAGTAGTTTTTTGGTACGTTGACGTTCATAGAGTCAAATTTGCATATCCTTCCCTGTACACCCCTTCAGTAACAATAACGACACGCATAATAATAAAAACTGTATTTATGATTGCTGAAGTATTCCATCTACTTTAATTTACTTTTCTCCGCTCCTCTTACTCGCTGTACTAACCCGTATTAAACCCTTACTGTACTTAACTGTAGGAACCCTTATTAAACGAGCATACTTGCTCGACATATTTTTAACATATCGACATATATTTTTAATTAGATCTTTAGTCACATTTATATGACACCGTGTTTTGCAAGAACAGCATAGCGATCACAACTACTGTGATTAAAGTTTTTATAATTAGTTTGTTCACGTTATCTCTAACATCACCATGCTGATAACTAGTATTAACAAGAACAGTGGATCTTGAAGTCAAACATTTTACTTTCTTTTCAAAAATAAAAGAGACATGCTTTTTGTCGTTTTATTTACGTTATTCTCATTTCAATAAACAATTTGAAAAGATTCAGGTGAGAAGTTGGTTCATATATATAGATGGCGTGGCTATAATTATTAACATTGTGATTATGCATGCAATCACGGACGGTGACGATGGCGTATGTCACGTGATGGAAAATCAAGGGTCAACGAGGCGAAAATGACAACTTTGTAATGGAGGTATGAAAGGATCGCGTAAAACTCATTGCATCACATTCAAACAGACCGTCATCATGCTTTTCATCGTAAAATGAGTGTACTGAGTGTCTGTATGTATTCGTTTCTGTCATTTCATGCGTCTGAATAATATAGATTTGCAAACTATATATAACTGTTCACTTGCTCCACTCTGTCATCGAGACAATAGCTCTTTCAAAATGTTACTCTATTCGGCTAAATATTTACGCATCAGTATGTACAGGGGTAGTCAATCCCTGGTGTCCAATACTTTTTTACAAATTTATGGTCAATGGATGTCTTATCGGAAAAGCTGCATTCCTAAAAAGCACATTTGCTTAATCATTACGCCTAATCCAACCTTCCCTAACCCCACATTTGACATAATAACTACATATTCATGTCGATATTTTTCCAAAAATCACGTTTTTTTTAAATAACTACCGTCATTAGTATGAACAAAACAGTGAAAAAAACATACAGACTAACGCTGACTGCAATCATAGCCAATTCTTCATATATAAAATCAGTAAGGACCAAGACATTTAACTTCATCTTCAGTTATCTGTTTAACTTGCCCAGATTAAATTGTCAAAATTTCGAAACTTTTAGGATTTTGAAAAGCCTCAAAAAGATGCATCGCATAGTTAAATTAAAACAAACGAAGTTTAATTTTTCGCCTGAGCAAAACATAGCACACCCGTTGTATTCAAACTAATACATTCACGTGAGGTTTTTGATCATAATTTTGTATGTCACTATACGAGTTTAAACACATGTTATGTTATTTTAAAAAACAGGGGGCAACACATTTTCCGCCAGCGTTCAGTACTTAGTGTCAAAATGAGGTTCTAATAATAAAGTCATAAAAATTATGTCTTCAAATATGAATTGTACCCAACATAATAACTACTGCGGCACTCAGTGTTATGTATCATTCGCTTCTCCTCGACAGCAGCAGGGCATTGGCTTTGAAACGATCGGCGACAAGAGTTAAATTGTGCAGAATGACACGAACTACTGACTGAAATACGAGATACAATCCATTAAATTTAATCGTCTAAAGTGTTTATGATTTCTAAAAGAATAATGAATAGAGTTTTATGCAAATCCTAGAGTAAATTTATAGACATGATTTGTCTACACAGATATCTGTCCTTAAATACAAAGTCACGCCCAGTTCATTCACAGTGTATAATAATAATTCTACTGATTGGTTCAGACTGCAGACCTCATAGACCTGTCGCGAGTGTGTTGAAAATCGCTTAGAGCGATTGTAGACTATTCGAGTAATACAAATATGAAATATATTTGGATTAAGCTTGGCTGGTGTAAAATGAGCTCTGTTTTAAACAAAACCTTCAATGTTGGAAAAATTGCACCTATTTCACATAACGTATAGCACATTATAAACAAGTATTGAAGGTCTAAATCAGATATTGTCGTGGTGCAAAGATATTTTCAGACGACGTCGTTATTCAGAAATCACATGAATATTCGTGTACTCATATTCTTGTTTACGCAATTTAGTCAGCAAACGCAAGCTGTTATCATCGTCAGTTTGAAAGCTAGATATAAGAAATAAATGGCAGTAGAATCAATCTTTGAGACTATTAGATGTAAATTGTATATCTAGGAAATCAAGACTTCTACAGTAATGCATTTTAAAATGAAAACTGTTGCATTTTGTTCGTACCTACAGCGGTAACCGTAGCACTCAATTCCCTTTTAATGTCTGGATACGACTTTCCAGCATTAATTCATCGGACAGCTCGACCCGAGCCGACACAACGGCAATTAACGGTTATTGCCGTACAAGTAAGATCATACACAGCATCTAAGTAAAGAATATAGTACACAGATTCTTAGAAGGAACATGCGCAGTTGATTTAGCACCTTTATGTGCGGACAAAACCATAGTGTTGCTACTGTTGACGATCTAATACGTTTTAGTTCGAGTCTTGGTAGCATATAGTCATCCACGCCCACTAGCCAGCTGCATAATTCTGGTGATGTTTATTTATACAAACATTGTCCCATTTTTTTCTTATTACAAACTTAAGAAGCTCCTTCTCAACTTGCACCAACTAAATAATACAGATGCTCTCGTATTCATGTGCTGTTTCTCCGAACAACATATAAGTATGCAACAAACTCGAAGCCAACGATGAGAAGTCTGCATTGTAATGCATTTTTCAAATCGAAGGCTTTTTTTAACATTTGACGAACGTAAAGCTTCTCGAACGACAACAACAAATGGACTACTATTTTCTATAATTTCTTCCGCAGTCTTCAAGCTGATTATACAATTATAATATATTATGAGGGTCGTTGCCTATATGAATAGTAGAAATATTCTATCATTGACTGCAATTCGTTATGCCAGTGAACTCCTAACGACACAAACTTATTTGTTTATATTTGACGAGCCGTGAAAGGCGGAGATCGTTAATACCAACAGGTACACAAACCCAAGAAAGTCTCGGTTGGAAAGCATTTGACGAAGTGGCAGTCAACGTATGAAGCCGATAATTTTTGGAAGCTTCCGCATACCGTAAATTACACTAGGGCGCCTCATATAAAATGCTACCGTAGTGGACTTGATTACAGAAGCTCTTGATTATTGCCCTAAGAATCGTCTATTTTTTGTTTGCTGAAAAAATGGTCGAACGAGAATGTGTATGTATGCGTACCTACGCTCGTATACTCAAACTACTGAGCTTCGCCTGTCGTGTTAGTAGTGGTGATGGTGATAATTATGGTAATGAAGCTCAAAGGGAGAAGGGAAGGCTCGAATTTCTTCGATTTGATGAGGATCGTACCATTCATTCATATCAGATCAGTTACTGGCCCGTTGTCAGATGAAGGAGCCTTGATGACAGTGATCACTGCAGCTGCCTGCCCAATGGCCCATACTCGCCTTTTAAACCTTGTTTCGTGTGTTTTTGTAACAAGTGAATCCTTTTGACTTTAATTGTGAATCATCGTTGAATCTGTCTGAAATTAAAATTACAAGATATTATCCTTATCCGTTAAAACATGTTGATATACATTAGATGCATGAAAGGACAAGTTGACTTCAATATTAATCCTATAAATATGTAACATATGTTTAAACAGTAATAAAAAGACCAACTAGAGAAATGAGTTGGTGACATTCGTAACATAGATACTTCTGATAGCGCTATCTCCCCAGGGTAACACAAAATTCAATTCACTTTCGTTTTGTTTGAATTTAACGGCAACAACTATTAATGTTACCCTATAATCAAATTTTTTATAAGTTTTTTACAAGATTTAAAATAATTTATAAAAAATGGCAAGATATGTCGCCACCAGTGATTGTAGTTTTTACTTTTAACCCTTAGCTACTTTCGCGCACTGTTTTTGTTAAGCGTCAGATTTTTATCAAAAAGCGACTACTGGCATGAAAGCACAAAGAATCATTCGATTGTTTACACAATAAACTATTATTGACTTGACTAATACAATCACAATGCTTGCCATTACGAGCTTGCTGCAATATCTATCTTAAATGCTCAGCTTTATTATATATTAAAATAGTTAATTCTATCAAAACTAGCAAAATCAAATAAAATGTTTTCATGAATTATAAAATTATATATAGCTTAAGTTGATCAACTTTTTAATCAAACAAGAATGTATCGAACACTAAAATCTCTACAACTAGCATGATCTGCTAAACTGTATTTCTTGAAAGCTTCGCACCTTCGTGTGTATGTATGTTACCTGATAGATGGGCGCAGGGTCAGTTTCTGTTGCTCCATACGGCGGTAGTGCTGAGTGGTTTGGGGGTCGTTGTCCAGCACAAGTGCTGCCAATGACACCACCGTTTGCAAGTCCATGACTGTGGGAAACAGCTGGGCCCCCGAAATTGCCCCGCCACATGGCTCGCAGCTCCCCGCGACACGCAGCCACCAGGACAACTGGCAACAATGTACATGGCACGAGGTACAGTAGCGCGGGCTGCGGGGTTTCCATCAAATATAGTGCTACAAAGGTCACCATCAGCCCGATCCCGTAAACTGAATAGATCATTAAGACAGTTACCAAAATGAATAAATAAAGATTAAAAGTTCATAGAAGAATTAGATATGCAGAAAATACGTTTTACTGTTTACGGAATTTTAACTGACTTTTAATATCGCTTCTACTTTATATAGATATTTTAAAGGTTAAAGCCTATCGACATTACGCTTGTCGTGATTCGGTCGGATATCTTTACTAATTTAAGTATATTTAAGTATATAATGAGAGAAAGAGAGAACTTACAGACTACAGAGACGATATAGTAGAGTCTGCTAGTAGATGAGGTGGTGCAGCAACAGCAACAGCCGGACGTTGCGGGAGGTCGTTGCTGATCCTGCCGGTGGTGGAGAAGGTCAAAGGCGTGGCAGTAGGACACGAGAAGGCCAGGTACGAGGATATCCCCGAAGCCGAGAAGCGAAAACTGTGAGAAACAGACATTGAGCGGATCTGCTCCCAGATGAGGCACACGAAGTACCATAGGCAATTGCTCCTGCGTGTCCGCCGCGCCCCTGGCCACCTCGACCATTACCGACTCGCCCTTCATAGTTAAGAAAGGCGTTACGAACACGAAAAAGATATCATAGAAGAAGAGCAGTACTAGAAGAACCGAGCAGATCAGAAGATTTGGCAGCCGCAATGTGCGTAGCATGTTTAACGAAAACGCCACACCTATATTAACGACAATAACAATGAGCATAATAACCATCATCAGCGCCCTCAAGGGGAAAACCAAGATCAACATCATCGTCAACCACAAAATGTGCTTACTAATGTGCTTATGATGGGTAATAACAGCACACAAATCACAGAGGAATATAAACCGAAATTACTTTTACTTTCGTTACCAATTCTTTATGATATTACCTATGCGTACGAAGCCTTATGATCTCATCCTATTTTTCCCAACTAGAATCTCTTTAAATTTTCTCAAATAACTGCAGAATTCAACTCGCGCAAACTATATTTGCTATAATGATTATGTGCCAACAACATGGCTGTAGGTTATCGAAGCAATTGCCTGAAGCAATTTTGTTGATACTTACCGAGGAGATCCTGCAGTGCCCAGGACCACGGTTTATGTCTCAAGAGAAGCCATGCAGCTGTTAGAGCAATGGCAAAGACGATAAGAAACACATGGCGTATTTGCAATGACCCGTAAAAACATGGCAGGAGACGACGGGGGATTTTGGTAGTTCCTATAGGAATGCGATTTATGACGGGCTCCAGAACGCCGATTAGTGAAGTCACCGATGCAATTGCGAACATGCCTGTGGAGATTACAGTGTGGAGCCGGTTGCTATTAAATAATACACTAGCATTTGCAGTATTAAGTTGGGAAAGGAGTTTATCTGCAACAATAAAGAACGAACCTGAACGTCCATAATTATTGACATATCGAATATGAGTCTGTGCCATGAAATAAAACATTTTTGTTGCCATCAATCGTTGTCTACATTACGTTTCGAGAATACGAAACGCGATGTGAAACAAAACTGTGGAGAAACAAACACCTTATCAAGTGAAATATCTATAAAGGATTAGAATGTATTTTGGATGAAATTCAATATTATCAGCTGTAATTCAACGATGAGCAGACATCAAGCGCTCAAATAGTTTCCTCAAAACACAGGGCTTCAACCAAACCCTCGTGCAAACAACACGGAAGTGCCCTTTAGTGATTAATGATTAGCCCTGAGAATAGCTAGGCCTTTTAACAGCAGCCAAATATAATATTACAACGAACTTAATTTCGTATGTGGTATTAACGAGTTTGAACTACACATTTTTCTCCTAAAACTACCTAAATGTTTCTAGGCTTACGTCCGACACTGTTGTTGGGCGTTCTATCAAACAACCTGGGACTACTTAGAAAGTACAAGTTTTAATCGAAAAAGCAACCTGATCTCATGATTACAGTATTTTTAGTGCAAGTGTCTTCTTACCTTTGACGCTCTTACACAACCAAACTTTTGGGTATTGCCACATATGATGTCTATCTTTAGATTTTTTTTATTATTATCTTAGTACCTTCCAGTGAGATCTATGTATTGTTAATTACTATATTAAAGCATCACTAGTAAAAATCAATTAAAGGGTTAACGTTTTTAACTCTTTATGGATCTCTGATTGACCAAAAATTTGCGCCGTTTTTAAGTAGTTAGCAAAAGCATCATCACCCAAATATTGAACTACTGACTTAAAGTAATATTTCTGATAATTCTTGAAAAATTCTTGAAAATTAATACTATTTCAACACTTAAAAACATTTTCAACTTCAACAAAGCACTGGAATGCAATTTTCTCCAGCATCTATTGAGTATGCTAAGTAATTTGTTTAGTTTTTCAATTCGAATTGCAGTACAGACGACTGCGAAATAAAAATTATATGCTTGCAGTTCCTTTAACTTAGCTTTGACTTAAGTACAGCATTCACTCTTTGTTTCGTTTAGAGATAAATAAGTAGGTATGGTATGCAACAGGTACAAAGTATAGGTAGCTATGCAAACTAAACTAAGACGAAATGGGATCATTGAACCCACAACTCTAGCCGTATAATAACTTGTGAGCTTAGAAGATAGATGTCTAATCGAGAATGACTCACCAATAATAAAGTAGACGAGGTACTGAAAGAAGAAATATAAAAGGATAAGCATGGCACCCATGCAGACAACGAACAGAGATACGAGCAAAGGGGAAACGTCGAGTGAACTCTCCTCCTGAACGCCACCAGCCAGCATTGCCCCATTGTCGACTGAATAACCCTAAGAATATGAGAAAGGTCAAAAGAGCAGAATTTCTTTACAACTGTAATTCGACGGAATATGACTATCAAAAGTGCTGAGGAATACAATATTATGTTCCACATGAGACGCGTGGCATATTTGGTTGCTAAGTTGATGGCCGTTTTTGTTTATCCTTTACTGTTTTCAATTTTCGTTTGCTGATAAGCAAGTGTTATATACCGTCGCAGAGCTTTTTGTGCACTGCGGAGATAATTAAGTGTGAGACCTCTACTTTCGATTTGTGTGCTCTATGTTCTCTGAGGGAGCCTATAGCTGAGATTCGCCAATTTCAAGTATTACATACTCTACCTAAAAAAGACGTTTTTTTCAGGCACAAAATTGGAGTCCCTTCTCAGTAAAAATGCCCTCGGAGTGCCCCATTACAAGATAATATGGTACAATTCGAATAAAATAAAGACAATGGTCTTGAAGAGTAAGGAAAATCTTTTCACGTACGTAACTTGACGAGTGAACCAAATGTTAGAAAATTAAAAAGTCAACAGAAATGGCCATTACTTTATTAACAACCTGATCGACGGGTCTGGCTTTTGGACGCAGACGATTGTCCGTGGTATTTATAACTAACCTGAAGTGAGCCGCTTTGTGAGATCTTATTCTCTTGAAATCCGTTCGTCGATGTGCCGTTTCCGTTATTGAGAAACCGGCAGTCTGGTCCGCGTTGTTGTTGTTCAAGAATGAAAAGCTCAAGGCGAACGCGTCCGCTCCAGAACGCTCCAACAGCCACGGTGAATACCGCAATAAACCAAATAACTACAAGCGAGTAGTCTAATGGTGATTCGGAACAAGCGAACATCCACACCTCTACGGCGCCACCAGGTAATGATAGAAGGTTCTGTAACGTAAAAAAAAACAGGAATCGTGAATTAAAGTTTTGTGGTTCTATGGTTTTCTCCTTCTATCTTCTTTTGGTGTATATTGTTCAAGTATGTGAGAGCAATTAATATTGCCTCGGTTAAAAATCACGCTGCCGTAAGATCTTAATGTCATTAATGTCATGTTTTGTTTGCGCATAATAAAGTGGACTCTGGAAAACAGCTTGCACAGTCCTTCCTTAGACTAAATCTGCCACCTGTCACATTCATGCCAATAAGTTACCTATTCCTAAGCCGTTACTTTATTGCGGCACACGGTTCTGAATACAACGAAATCAACCACACGAACCTCATTATTAAAACCTCCATATGAACACCATCAAAACACACATGTTGTTTGTTTAACTCAATAATAAAAACATTTGTATTAGAAAATATAGCTAGAACGATATTGCTTTGTTAGTCGGTCGGTTAAAATATATTTGTTAAGCGGTCATCAATCCACTATGGTACACATATATGTATTTTGTTGATACTACTGCTCTTGTGCAATAATGGTGTTACACAAAGCAAATTTTGCAAATAAACCATTTTGATTACTAGAAGAATAGACACGGAAGAAAAAATGAAAGCTTACGATGAGGGCGCTGGCCGTGTTTTCGGAGACATAGCCAACGACGATGTCGAGCTCACGGGTCTCATTGACCTCAACCTTAATTGGCTCCTGCAATATGTAGAGAGAGTGTTTAAAAGGAAATGTTATACATCTAACGAATTTTTATCAGCTCATAGTCACTGTAAATATAGAACTATATTCAATAATAATAATATTTTCAAAATTCTAAAACTATAAAAAAATATTTAAAATGTTCATGAGGTTACCCAATCCAAGAGTATTCCTGTAAATCGGGTAACCTCATGAACACTTTAAATACCTTTATTATTGAATATAGTTCTATATTTACAGTGACTATGGGCTGATAAAAATTCGTCTATATATATATATATATATATATATAGAAGTACCAAAATAATTATATATATGCAGCGAAGTTTAGGAAAAGCATCAAATCCCATCTGCGGTTAAGCCACGTTTAACGTCCTTTGAAAATCTTTAGGGGAGTTTTTCTCTAATTCTGATTAGTGTATGAAGAATTGCTTAACGCAATTTGTACAGCAAACAAATACACCATTTTGAACTGAAAACTACATGGAAAGTTTAAGCCATGTACCTCGAATTTACTGACGTCTTAACGCACGCTCAACCTTTAGTATCTGCAAGATGAATTCCAACTTTTACCTTTTATCTGTTTTTTTTCATACTCAGTGGTACTTACAAATTTGACCTTGTTGGAGGCCATAATAAGCGCAGTAGCGTTTGCTTTTTTAAAGTGAACAATGGTTCGTTCAACAGGGCAAACATTCGTCGACCGAGTCAATGCAGCTTCTCGTTTGAAATTCACAGGCAACTCGTTACAGCTATCGTACCTATAAGTTGGGATAAATGACAAATATTATAAAAGCATCAATTTTTTCGTAAAAAGATACGATAGCAACATATGCTCTTTAATACCGATCAGGCCATTTGAAGCGAACTCAATAATAAATGCAATTACACTGTATGATCTTAAATATAATTTTGAAATATAAAATACATATATTGAGTTTTTTGCTGCTGTAATAAGCCTTATATATATATATATATATATATATATATATATATATGTATATATAGAAATGTGACGTATAGAGCAATTCTGATTTTTGAAGTATTCAGAAATCTGCCAAACGTACTGTGAAATTCATCACACTTTCTATGAGATAACATGTTTTTCATACACATTGTTCTAACACAGAAAGATTGTGAATGAAACTACGAACGTTGTAGCGTTGACTAGGCCGATGGGAACCGCAGACTCTGCTGAAGATGGCAGCTTTTTGAATTCGGGAAAATATATCATGCAGAAATGTTGCGATGTATGAGCCGTTTTTGCTTTAAGAACAGCATACTTGGATTTTGCGGCACACAGTTGCACCATAGACAATTCCAATAACATCTGCAAACAAAATAACGTATACTTTTGAGCGCGTATTATAAAACGACGAAGTGTTCACCTTTACAGCGAAATTTTCTTTTGAACACAATCTTAGCTTGTATAAACGTACACCTGTATTGTATCGAAAAGGACAATACGTCAATCACAGTAGGCCCTTAACAGTGGTATCAATGTGAGATATGCCTAAATTGCACGATCAAGTCGCGTCTGGTGACAACGTGATAAATAATAAGTAAAGTTGAAGACCGTCCTCTATTGAACGGCTAGGAAAAATAGTAATTTACATACACTTTGCCAAGCAGACACGTTTCATAAGAGGATCTATTGAATTAATAATATTTCGCTTAAAATTGAGGAATATTCTCAATTTTTTAAAATGTTTAGGTGCTTCGATACGAGTTTTTTTTTCATATCCCAAGCAAACTAGCAAAAGAGCTCCAGGAAAAAAGTACTTTATCAACTATCGAAATCACAAAATTCTGTGGCGTTTACTAATTAACTATCATTATGATTTTTAAATTTCTGCGACAGATGAGCACGATTACATATCAATAATTTACAAAAAGAAATGCAGAGAATCGCAGACCAACATTCAGGGCACCCGATTTTCCGACTTAGTACCCGTGGTTTATTCAGTTCATTGCCCAGCGTTCCTCCAATATCACTTATAGAATTCGACATCCACTAGTGGTGTTGATCGAGTGGATCAGCGGCAACCGTTACAAAGACTTCAAGCAACGGCACACCAAACGATGCGAAGATAACACTGCTAGATTAAGGTAAGACGCCTGCTGCGTTAGTTTACCCTCTGATGAAACACCTGTGTTGTTTCTGGAATGAAAACATTCGTTTTATTTAGCTGTTCCTCAGTGTACTCGAACAGTTATCTACAGAATTGAGGTCTTTCAATATAAGCGTTCACATCTGGGACAGATGACCACTTTGTATGCAGGTCGTTTTGAAACTACGAGAACCAGTCCATAAATGAGAGATTAAGTGCTTAGGTAAATCCACAGGTGAGTAAACAGATGTTAGTTTTAATGTATTGAAAGATGGAGAGTGCTTCTCGGAGTAAGGCTTCAGCCTGTGATGGAAAAGCAATTTCCACTATACCTATACTGTAAGTAACGATCCACCATGTATTTAAAGAACCATAGAAAAATGCATAAAACTGAGTTTTTGCTGAAAAGACGCTGCCGTTGACGCCTAACACCATGATAGTGGCGAACTCAAAAACAATCGGCAAACTGAAAACAAGAGGGTCAAGAATAATCACGACTTCTATGACATTGTTCTTAAAATTTCTTATTTGAACATCAATATGTTCTGTGTTGTCCCGCTCTGATTTATCGTCAAAGCACATTATAGCCATTTAAAGAATAATTTTTATTAGCTGCTTTGTCACCAATGGTACACTGTTGCATTGATCATGATTTGGCAAACATTTACTACATCCATGTGTAAAAATTAACTATATTTGTACACTGTGAATATTTTTAAACCGATGGAATTCATGGAATTGAATAGATATATATGTATATCGTTTCAATATTTTTATGCTTCGCGCATTTTATACAAAAAAAAAAACTTGAAGTTTATAGACACAAGTTTTAAACCGGGTATGACAGGAAACTTAAATCTATAGTAAAGATATTCGCAAAATATTAAATAGCTTGTGGACATTGACGGCCGTTAGTGGAAACTGTGGCTTGTCATCTACTTCCTGAGATGGCGAATGGAGTTCTAACATTTAATCCAACGAACTGATGACATTAAATTAGCTGTATACTTCAAGCTAGCATACGAGCTAACCATACAGAATAACCTCGAAAAAAATAATAGTTTTCAAAAACTGGCAATGTAGTGTCAATTGGATCCCTTTAGCTGTAAATCAAATTCCGTCGTTCGCCAAACCTATTTTCGTCATGTCTCAAACTACCGTTATGGCACAGCATAGGAAACTCCGTAGGATAGATCCATTATCAGCTTGATTTCATCCACGTCGTCGTGGTTGAAAAAAAGAGAAAGCTATATGCGATACATACGCCTTACTACCAAGCAACAAAAAAATTACTTGTACGTGAACTATTGAAATATTGGCTGCCTGCAAGCAAGTTATGATAACGAACCCGAGCGACAGTTACGTTTGTCTAACAAGCCTTTTTCTGCACTACCCATATATGACAGAGATTGAATTCGAATTTTAGCACAACGGGACTGCGAATAGAAACTTACCAGCAGAAAGAAGGCAAAACCAAATCTCACAGATTTGCCTTGCATTTTTGACTTGGAATGACGGCACAGCACTCGGACCAGATCCCCTTGTTTAGGTAATTATGTGGATGTATGGAGGATGTCAGATATAGTCTAGGGGGCCTAATCGAGCGCTACTCCACTAGTCGTGCATTTCGGATTACGCCACTGGGCAATTGGCAGGACGATGATCACGTTGAAAAAAGCCGCTAAGCCGCAACAACACAGTACAGAGCCACAAGCAACTTGCACAGGAAAAACCGCACGACAAAACGGAGCGCTGTTCACTGCCTCCAGCACAATCACCTGGTTTCTACTACCCTCAGCGACTGACCACGAACTACCAACATCAACAGGGCAATAACATTGCAGCAGACGAAAAGCGAACACTACTGTTGCTACGCTTGATGATGTCCTCCACCAGGGGAAGATCACTGTCAGCAGTAATGTCCTGCGAGGGACCGAATTGCCTTTCCCTTTAGTAATGGAGCGTCGTATCACGCAGTGTGAGTCCAGGAAAGCTGAGCATAACAGGCACTTGAGACAGTGGATGTGATCTTTTAATATATTAAAAATGCAAATATTTGTACGCCCTTTTTGGTATAGTAATTTTGTATTCAACTTTTAATATTTACAGATTCACTTCACATGAATAGTAAGCCATTCGTTCTTTGCTACGACCGCACACACATGTTTTGTTTAATTAAGTTCACATGTTTTTCAAAATAAAAGTAGATTCAGAAAGTGGTTAGTAGAAAGGGTTAGATATGCGAGGTAGGAAGTCTGAAAAATACCTGCATGCCTCCGAGGTTCTAGAATACATATAAATACTGTCTGTTCCTTTTTTTGTTATTAATTATATGTATATGGGACATCTAAACCTAAATGTTTTTCAAATTATTTTTCAGGCTGGACCTAAACAAGGACGGATATTTCGATTAAACGTTTTGAGCTAGGAGTGTCATCCTTAATAGTGAATTTTGTTTAATATAACCATCATCCATCGCAACTAAAACTTCAACTTGGGATCTACGCTATTCACCGATTGTCTTCAAAATATTCCTTTTTTAATTCACAATCACCATTTTAGGAACGTGTAAACTCTTATGAAAATATTGCCCAAAATACGCTACTTTTTCCGGGGGAACCTTTTCTGACGTATTTGAGCAGGTCAAAGGTCCTAGAAGTGTAAGAATTTAAAAAGGCCTATAAATATAAAAAGACGCGAAAAATGGCTAAAAACTAATCGTTAGAGCTTATCTGGACGGCCCTAATTAGCAGTTGATAATCTACTCTTCACAGTGATCGTTAATTTCTATATGAAAATCCACGTTAGAAGGCTTTTTCGCCGATTTCAGTTATTTTTCGAGCTATCTAAATATAAACTCTTCTCTACAGAATCGTTAGGATTACCTTATTGACATCTTCCCCGAATCTAATTAGAGCGAATGAATCCGATTTCCTCAGCCATATGTATGTGGGTGTCAGAAACCCAGGTAGCAAACGACAAACATTATTTTTATTTAACCATCGAGGTTCTTCTAAATACTTAAAAAGTAGCTTTTTTAAAATACACGCATGTTATCTCCTTTATCTTGAAAACCTTTTTGAAATACCGAAATCTTATTTTACCCTTCGAATCACCTGTTCAAACTTTCTTTTATTTAATAAAGCTTTGTACAATTAAGCCACAAGGATCGGTCGAGTAAATAAGATATTGGCGCAGGGAATATTCATACAGTAAAAATAATTTAACTAGTTAGTGAACTTTCTTCCCATCGCTGTTGAGCAGAATCAGCCCAGGCTCTTCCAGGGTTTCCACGTTTTAAGATAAACAGACTAGCGTGACCTTGTGAAGGTTTCAAAAGCACATCATTAAACAATTTTAGCATCTTACGAAGAAACCTTCATGCTATGGGCAAGCACAAGATTTTTCAATTCTTTTTTCGTTATTTAGATCTAGGAAGTTTGGCTGTCAATCAACACAAACCCGACATACGTAAATCCTTAGTTATGTGCCAAGTAACACTAGATCTTATTGCTCATCCCGTGTATTGTCAATGAAAAATAGCTGGATCCTCGTGAGACACCTCTACTGAAAAATGAAAGGCGAGCTATGATGATATGAGGTCTAAAAGATTTTGCATCAGACCTTAACCAAGTGCAGTTGTCTTTAAGTCGGGTGGAAACATTGGACCCTGTGACGATGAAAAAATCTTTCAGGCTTTCTTATTTCGAATGTCAAGGAAGTGCGATTAAACAATCCCCTGGACTCACATGCAGATATATCTGCCAGTATAATTTGTATTGGTCCTGCAGAAGTATGGCACGCTGTGCTTATTTTTAGCAGTACCCACGGATATCCTACGCGAGGAGATCAACTTCATGTACTTATGGAGAATCTGATATGGAAATGTTGATCGCCATGTCAATTGTTGCAATTCTGTCTGCAAACAAATGCCGACTGCTGCGACTGAGGTCAAGAACAGCTAATGTGCTAAGCGAATAAGTCTCCTCTCCAGCATTCTAAAGCTGTCGCGCAATATACCCTTCCTTGCCGTCACAAAATTGATTATTATGGGAGATGGCCCAGAGGACTGAATTCAAGAACTCACGCTGACAAAAAAATAATTTTTAATTTCTTTAAGAAGATATTTCTTAGACTATTTCATTTATGCTGAGTGAAAGGTATACTTGTCTGATAACTATCGCGATTGCCACATTATTTTATTATTAGATGAACTATCGCTGCAGCTATAATTTCGTACAATTTTACTAATTCTATTAAATGTAGTCATATACAACACTTGTTTTAATTACATACATCTTTAAGTAATTCGAAAATAAAAACGGACCTCTCTGTAAAATGATCCGATTTTGGTAGATTAAGCCTGACAGGCCATAATAAAGCAAGTTCGACGGATTCCGAAAGAAACATGCCTTTGTGTAGCTTAGTAGTGTATGTTAAGCGAAAGGAGCTATCGGAAGAAAGCCAAACTCCATAATTATTGGAACATATTTAGTTACATTACTTTGAATACCATTCGCAACTGCAACTCTAAGGTGATTAATTGACAAGATAGTGTGGAACAAATTATTACACCAAACCCAGGGTAAACTATGGTGCAGTGTCGGCAATAAGTACACATTTTTAAAATTTTCTTTAAATTGACTTTATAACAAGATTATACGCTTTTGGCTGCTTGCCAGGTTCGTTACTGCTGTCCCTTATTATTTATATATATATATTTTTAAGGAATAAGTTACTTGGTTCTAATCGCGTGATTCAACAAAGCGGCCTCCTTAGGTCGGCCTTTTTTGTTTATCAGATTGCATTTTTTGGGTGATAGCAATTTCTAGGAATGCTTACATTTTTGCTAGAGCCGATACTACAGAAAAAAAATATTATTTACACGGTAGCCTCGGTTAAAAAAAATAAACTAAAAATGTTAACATCCAAATTTATTACACGCTAAGATGCAATCATAGAGCTTTATACAAATGTTTTTATCGGCAAATAGCTAAAGTACGAAATAGTCATAACTACACAAATAAATAATTGATACGATCTGCAACTCTGTAGCTTTTTAGGTCTCGCCTCTAACATCTGGCACGAACTATTCAAAAAGTATTACTATTACCCTTTGCCTTATAATGATATTTCAAGATATTTCATTATCATGGGGTTTGTGCACAGTTTGACATCGAAATCGTCAGGTTTTTTCACAAGGAATAGTGTGTAATGCGTTAAAAAAAAAATTCATATTATAACGCTTATGTAAGGGATTGATCCATAACTTTGATTAAAGGCATGGTTGTATTATCGGTGAAGATGGACCCAGATGGAGAGTGGTCGTTCGCAGTTTAGATCATGACAGTCCTTTTTCTAATATCCACATTTTGCGAATTGTAGTAATATCTCGAAGTCTTCGTCGCAGCTAAGTTGCAAGTTTTTATGATCTCTAAAACTTTCAAGCACCCAAAACAGAACCTACATCCTGAATCTGAAGTTTACAAACCTCGGGTGCCTCGCGATCGTATTTTTGCAGATTGCGAGTCGGCTGACTGGCGTGCTCACGTACGTGAATATCCAATTCTCTGCAAGCTTTATCTTCTTCTAGATCTTTCGGAAAGGTTAGCCTGTCGAAACAATTCAATTTTGGAAAAGAATAAACATTCGTTATCACTAGTTTTCACATGAGAAGGCGCATTAAGAAAAAAGAACAGGTACCCTTGAAGTACAACTGACGAATACCTCATTCTTTGTTGCAAGACCATTACATATAATAAATCTATGTGTCTATTACTTTGTTATTATTATTATTATTATACTATTATATTTACTAGGTCATACGAAGATGGTGGTGTACTTGAGTGTTTTGGAAATTTGTATTACTACCTACTTCCGTATGTAAAAGAAAAACATTAGAAACGGATGTGGAAAAGGTCAGGTTGGTACTTCACTGATCGATCATCTGAAAAGTTTTTAGTGCATCATTTTTGGCATAAAAGTCTCAAATAAAAATCAGTTTGATATCATCAAGGAAAAATGTCAGTTTCAATTTATTTGTTGGTAGTGATAGGTTCACACATATATAACGCAGAGCTCAGATGAGGTTACATCCAAGTCCCCTCAATAAAACCAATGGACTAGCGTACATTAGCCCGTATGGCTATAACGTTGACAATGATATCTAGCATACAAACAGACACCTGGTGAATATAAATAAAGTTGCGGTCAAAGCTACAGGAGGCAATTGTGACAGACCGAAATCAACGAAGACCTAATAGCCTTAGCGTATCTTTGTGGTCTCATAAGAAATGTTTAGTTTAGAACGCCACAGATAAATCGTGTACGAGATTTGTGTCGCTCATATGACATATCTCAGTTTACCTGAACTGATAACGAAGCGCGTAGACTTTAAAAAGGTGGGTAAACACGCTGATTCGATTTTGCGCCAGTTGTCCTAAAGGCACTATTGGATTCTCGTAGCGAAGAGGCAACCTCTTTCATTGAAAACTTTTTAAAGTACTTCAGGAGATCAACCTTGTTTTTGCCATCAAAATAATGTAATGAAGGCCGGGAGATTTTTGGTACACGTCTGAGTTACATTTTTAATCTTACTAATATAAAAATTATTTAATACAAATGATTTATTAGCAATTCCGATAAGTGTATATAGTTAAAATATGGTGACTTCAATATCAACAGTACCTACCTTTGCTCTAGTAAAGGTTTGGGCAATAATAGGCTTAGAGTGGGATAAGCTACAAGCCCGCGTTAGAAATAATAAGCCATAGAATTGTTTTTATTTTTTATGTTGGCAACTTCTTTGCTCTGCTCTTGTAGCTGCCTGAGTGGCTTATTAATTGAGCACGCTTAAAAGTAGTTAGAATAACGTTCAAAACGGTGGCATCCCACGCCAGCAACTGCCCTTTCAAAAGTGTCAATATCGGACAGAGAACTAATGTTAGACAATCGGGTCTGATCTCGCTGTTTTCTAGCTTACGCGGTGACTCGCCTTGTGCGCGCGGATCGCGGGTCGCGAAAAATAGTTTCGTTTTTCGAGGAAAGCCTTCGGTGTTGAACAGTCGAGGTACGATACAGCAGAGGAATCTAACGTCCCTGTATCAGTATAAGATACTTGATAGATCACCATGGCGTTTTTGGCTGCCTTGTATTACATAATGTTTTCAGTCCAAGCAGCTCTTTTCATGTAATGGGACATTCTAAATTCATCTAAACCCCGAAACCTTCGAGCTAGAAGTGGCAATTGGAGTTGTTCCTCATCTGACATCCTATCATTTAAGATGAATACAGTTTGTGTATATATATTTGTGGGTTGAAATACTCTCGAAAATGGCAAAGTGAATTTTGATCGTTTTTGCAAACTAGGTTATGCTTGACAGAAAATCGTACAACGTCTTATGCCGTCTAAAAGTGCTCAAATTGGTCTTCATATCTGTAACTACGAATAAATACTTCAAGCACCTGTGGTGCACGTGGATACAGACCCCTTTTCGACAGAGATTCTTCGTTTTGTATGAACAAATTGCATTTTCTTTTTTTTCGTATCGATTGCGAAATGTATATTAGGTAGAGAACACAATTTTAGAGAACAGTTTTCTCGCGTGACTATAAAGTTTTTCTAAATTGTTTATACTGCTCTAGGTCTAATCATTCCCTGGTCCCATAAGACCTAAAATAGACTTTGATATCCTGGTAATTAGCGTTCCGTTAGTGAAAGTTCGTTTTCTAATATGCTAAAGAAGGTTTTGAGAGATTGAGAGCTCCAAGTAGCTACGATTTGTTACCCTACGATGCAGTACTACCATAAATCCAGACGCACGACTCGAACATTCCTTTCCAATATATATTGCACACGGATGCAACGATTTTCACTTCGTTTAAATATGCCCGCTTTCGTGAGCTATCGAAGCTAAACGCGTATCAAATGCTAGTACTTTAGTAGTAATTTAATAACTATATAATAACGAGCACTAAGGCCATGCCCTTAGACGTTATTACTATAGCCATTTAAGGACTGCTTACGCAAGCACATAATTTCTTAGTTTTCGTGTTAGTTGCGGCTACCTGAGATAACAAGAGCCTAATTTCAACGTTTTAGCTCGTGTTACTTTCGGTAACACGATACTGTAAAAACAAAATGCATATAGAATATACAACGGAAGGACTATAGTCTGATAAAACAAACCTTAAATGTATGGCTGCGGAATCCCCATTACATTTTGGTTTAGGAATATAACGTGGAATGTATAATTATACATATTCTACCCTTACGGTAAGGGTGATTTAACTTTTTTGGATGCTAGAAAACTGAATTCAAATCTAAATTGAAAAAAAATTTAAAAAAAAAAGCTCAAAAACTGACCAGAACCAACTGTCCCGATTAAATAATTCTATATTCAGCGCGCACTTTAAAGCACACTCTCTATTCGCTTGTTCATTCGCGACAACTATACACATGAACAGCTTTTAAAGGCCATGAGTCTTAGCAAATCTGATTTTAGTCACTTCACCCAACCCTCCTCGTACGTTTGCAATCGACGTTTGCAATTTCGTTTATCAGTACGTAAAGTAACGTTATCCCAGTGCTTAATCCGCGTTGCTTCGAGTGACCAGATTCGTCAATTCTGCAGTCGATCAGTTGCGCTGAATATTTAAAAAAAAAAAAAAAAAATATATATATATATATATATATATATATAAATATATATATTATATATATATATATATATATATTTTTTTTTTTTTTTTTATATATATATATATATATATATATTTTTAAAATATGTACATACATGGTGCGGAAAACAAATAGCGTTTCAAACCTCCTTTTTTCCAAGACATGAAGAAGCTTTACAGATACTTGCAGTATCGCACTCACGGCTCTACCTATTTACAATGAACTATTAGCTACGATGTTATGCGTACATGGAAGTTTTCGTTTTTGTAAAAGCTCATTTTAAAATTATTCTTTTTATATAGTCACACATTTATTGCGTACTCCGAACTTTGTGCGATAAAAACGATGTCAAAGATTTATGAGGTGATAACGGAGTGAACATTCTTGAAAATGTGATATGTTAAGACAAATAAATACGCAACTTGCCTAAGCAGTGACTAACGAACTGCGATAAAAGCCGTGAGCCAGAGCTTTTTAAGGATATCTTTTACAAATCTATAAAAAAGACTGAACTACAGAGGTTTCTACTTCATCAAAAGTTCTCATTAATGAATGTTCTTATTTCCTCCACAAAGAAAAAAATTATATATATATATATATATAATAAGCTCCATTAGTTGAGTTTATTGAGCAGCAACGTGAGATAAAACAAGCGTTCCCGTTTATCATTAAGCCTGGCTCAATCCTATTAATCAATCAAATTAATTAAGGGCTATCCAACTGATGTCATTAAGTGTCAGGCTGGGGCAATCATTCGTTTGTGAACACAACAGTGAGATAGGTTGACAGAATTAAAAAACAAATTCAAACTTACAAGTATCAATTACATATTATGCGGTTGTTTGAAACCGGGAGTTCGATTTTGTAGAAGTACTAAGCTCGGCACGTAACTCTTCCACGAGTTTGGCTCCTTGAATGTTTCAAGATGCTTTTGCTGGAAGCAACTAAAGATGGAGGTTAAGCCACTGGGTCTTTCGCTGCTACTGTGAACTACTAGTCCGAAAAGGTCAGAATTGTATTATTGTATTTCAAGTGGGAACTAAGCCAACAATAACAATATATATATGCTGTGGCGCGATATTTTAATAAACAAGATAATTATTAGTAGTTCATTTTCTTTAATTAGTCATTTTAATTAAGATTGATAAGATCATGTCTCAGTATGATGGGTATCCAGAGTAGTTACACGCCGTACACCTCCTCCCTAAAAACATGCTTCTATCGTCTAGCTGAATCAAAACTCCAGTGCTCATAAAGAATCTCGACGCATTATTAAAAATTAGTTGTAATTACTAAGTACATCTTGGTGGATAACGTTTTCGGATAGTGGCCTGATGGGCAGAATATCTTAGGCGTTAAAGAGGGACAGGTTAGTCAATTTATTTATGTAGTGATTAAAAACTAGCAAAAATATGCATACTATTTAAACGTTTCAAAACCTTTGAATGATTAGGACCCCCTTTGTGTCCATATGGCATACAGGATGGACAGTCGGCACTTGCCAAGATACAGAACCTACGTCGGATGAAGCTAAAATCGTGTCCCGCAGCTAGTAACATCTACAAACCCTGGGCCTGAACTCCGGTTAGGAAAAAGTCTTAACGTAGACTAACTACTGCGTCGACGAAAAGCCTTCTACGATCCTACTTCAGCGGGCGAAATAACACGAAGTTTTGTAAAGTACTATATAATTACCTAACGTGTGCTCTTGAACTTACCTAATGCTCTATGCTCAATGTAATTTTGTCCTGTTATTTCGCATCAAAGCGTACTCCCTCAGCCAGAAAAGACAACAATATAGCACTATCGCATTAAACATAATCGGCTGATTTACGTAGACAGTCAAGCGAAGCGCATTTGGGCTTGAAGCTCAATAAACTTAAGTATATACGGATGATTTTTTCTCGAAATTTTCTAAAATCTGCTTGAACAATTTGACTATTACTATAATTGCGAATATGATGACTTTATTCTGAAATTGCAGAGACATCCATTGTTCTAGGACACGGTTGGCACGAACAAGGCCAATCCGGGGAACCGTGTCGGTGTTTCAGTGTAACAAAAAAATTGTATAGGCTTATGTTTTGGTACACGTCAAACAAACAGATTATTGTTATTGTTGTAGCCAACACACACATGTTTTACATGGGTTGTACAAGCAAGTAGTTCTTACTGTCTGACTTGTGTAAGTATAATACTTTATGACGCGTGCTACATTGCACAATTTACGATGAAACATGAAGACAGAAATTTATTTTCTTCAGTTCCGTCTGTCACGTAATACCTGGATTCAAGGATCGAGTTATCAAGCAAGAGCTTATCGAATGTTTACTCACTTACCCATTTGCTCAGCGTAAACGCGCGTACAACTATAGAGTTAAACGGGAGGCTTGTCCAAGTCGGCCGTGAAATCTACAGTAACTCGCAGCGGCAGCTTAACCTACAGATTATAAAAAATAAGTTACAGATAACAAAAAAAAGGTAACAAACGTTAATTAGCTGACATAAAATCGGGTTCCAAGATACAAAGGAATTGACGAAGTACGGAAAAGCGCGTAAAACCAACAAGCAAGGACCTGATCAACTGTCGCCGAGCTTTCTCGCAGTACTAAAGCATGGCGAACTAACTAGCCATAGTAGGTAGGAGTTATTATTATGACCCGTTAGCGTGCGAGAACGCAGAATTCCCTCCACAACGGAAAAAACATAAACATTCGGATAAAATAATTTCTGTGACGAACTTCAAAAGTTATCTTCAAACGAAAAATCAAATTGAGAGCTGCATGCGCCAGCAGCGGAATTTCTATCTCGGATAATCGCGTGAGCCTGACGTTATAGTCTGTCAGACGAAGAGTTCACCTGTTGCACCAATTTGAAGATAAAGCTACAGTAGCAACTGACCGAAGAAAGATGACCTCATAGATGTTAGTAGAGGAAAAATTGGCTAGAGATTTCAGTTTTTGTGTCCTGGCTATTGCCCTGCATTGGAATGACGTACTTCACTTTTTCTAGCTTTATTTAGATTAGCCAACTGTTACTATAGAAGATGTTTCATCTTGCTCATCAGTGTGAAATGGCTCTTTTTTAAACAGAGGAACCGGAAACAGCTCAGTCTAAAAGAGGTAAAAAGATACGAATCATTAAACCAAACAGGGTATAAAGTGAACGATGAAATGGAGAATTACTGCTAAGCGATACTAACGCTAATCATTCATATTTTCCATGTTTTTCGAATCGTTGAGCATTCTTCGTATATTATTTGCATACACTGATCCTTGCTTGTTTAATAGTATAAAGTATTGTTGCACTACAATTCGATCGTATGTTACCGATGCATCACGAAAATTTGAAAATGCCGCGGTATCGAATGCATTTTACTCGAAGCACGGATGGGACGACTGCAAAATTCCGCCTGAATAGAGGATACGCCAATAAAGGTGATCATTTATACTTACTCCTTAATGCTTACTAATTAGTATATAATTCGTACGAGACTCCTCCTCAAGCATGTCTGTTTCGCACAAAACCTAAACGATATAACAGTTTCAAACGAAAATATGTAGCAGAGTTTACTACAGGAATATGCTGGTCACTAACGTCCAGTTTATCTACTTGTAGTTTATATATAGTATAGAAGATATGCCGTTCGGAGTCAGAACCACACTTGAATTTTTATAGTGAGACGGGTTATACTATAGCACGCAGGTGTGTCCTCCACAACCACTCAATGATATGACTATGTTGAAACTGAAGACTTTTTTAATCAGCACGCTCACATTCCATACTCATCTCTAAAACTGAGTTGATTTACTGATCAGTATTTATAGTGCTAGTTTTACTATAAATTTGCGTTAGTTCAATAATATTGTTTAAATATGTCAACGCTTTATTCAGCTATAATGTCTTTCGCAAGATTATTCCTCGTCCGCCGTTCGATGTCACTCCGTAGTCTGCGGTAATCTGTATAAGGCTGAGCGTGGTTTAGAACCTTATGTGTAGTTCCTAGCGTAGCTTCGAGGCGAGTGACAGTCTGTTAACTCACCGCAATATTGCCAGCCAGTTCATACCGATCGTCGTCGCGACTTTATTATCTATTGACAATAAACGATGAAAACAGAAACAGTAGTTTTATCTCCCATATTGTTTACATTTAAAATCGTGTGGTTGTTTCCATGCGTCAGAGAGGCCTACTATCAATTGCCTCGAAGAGGCCATCTACAACTAGGTTTGGCGTTATACAGGTCACAGATATACACACCCGTTATGAACCTCCCAGAGCGGTCTTCCCTCAATATGTAACTACTAAAGGAGAGCACATCTAATATATAGCAAAATCTCGTTTTTTTTTTTTCTATTTTGTATGGTTTACCCAAGGCCAATTAAGTAGACACGGAATACCTGATAGATATTATAGTATTACATACTAATAGGCCAATAATATAAGACGTCATTGTACTGTATTAAACTTGAGTAATATTTAAGCGGGGTGCCTCTTGGACCAGTTTCGTGGATACGTACGTAACTTCTGAATAGTGTCAAATAAGGTACCCTGTCCGTTTACCAACAGAAGTCTTACAATAGCCTACATATTCGTATGTAGGCTATTGTGAAGCAATCATGAGTGCCAATTTTTTACCGAATTCATTCATGGACGGTCTTTTCGTTATAATCTAAAAACTCGTATTCGGAAAAATGCAAATCTGAACCGACGGATATTCTAGAATTTGACCCTCACCCAAGTCTCCGTATTTGAGATTGACTCTTTGCTTGCAGCCCTGACGTATGGGGGTCCTCTTTGATGCACCTTTTAAGCTAGACACGTTCAACTCTTAGCTCTTAATGATCAAGAAATGTGAGCGACTGGATATTCCAACAGAAGCATTCGCGGCCGATATCAAATATGTTCTTATATAGAAGAACATATTTTTACTAACTAAAAAGCTAACTACAATGAATATTATTGCCAAATACGGGAACTTGGTCCTAAACGCCCAAAAAAATTATACTTACATCGGAAACCAAACAGATTTATCTACTCCAGAAAAAAGATAAAGAACATGATTAGTGTTTTGCCTGCGTTCAATCCCAGAGATGAGATTAAATAGATAGAGATGAGATTAAGAAATCCCTTATAGTAGACAAGAACTTATATCAATTCTTCAATATGATTTCGAAAAGAGACTGAAGCATAACGACATTTATTGACAGGGAAGTATATCAATATCGAACCGTTGTATTTAGGATTCTTTTAGATGATCAAGCACTAAACCAGTAGATCTCTAAATTTTTCAGTCCTCATAATTGAACTATGGAAAATCAAAGGATATCTTTTAAATTAACTGATATAATGTGCAAAAATTAAAATTAAACTTAGTATAGAACTATCTCGTTAGAAATCTGCAAAGAATATGGTAGTATCATGGCAAATATAATCGTATCATTACTAACGATAAAATAAAAGCTATATTTCAAAAATAAACCCCACATCTACCAACTCAAAACATAGATCCTAGCAGTTTTATGTTTTATGGTTAAATTACCCATTTTTTTCATCGAACAATGTTTCGGGAGAGCGCATCATCGTACGATGTCTAATTGAAAATAAGGCTGTATGAGCGCGGTTTATCTGCAGACCAACGTTTTCAGTTCTTATTGCCATCTGATGGCAAGTACTCTTTTTTTTTTTTCGAATAGTTTATCTTTTTCGTTCAGTATCTATTCGAACTGTTTCGATATAACTTTCGTCTGAGCAACAATTTATTACATATTTGAGATAGAGCTAAAACGTTATTTTGCGTCACGTTTAAATAAAACTACAGTCTTCTAGGCTGGCGCAAGATCATTGGAAAATGTTCTGTACAGATTAGACGGTTCTAGTTTCTCCTAAACGTATCTTGAAGTAGAGTTTGGACTTAGCTCATCCATGTGATATATATTGCAGTGCACCATGCCATTTTCAGTACACTAAGCTACATTTTCGGCACATTATTGGGGTTATACAGATTGCTTGAGGATGATTTTATGATAAAGATTTGAATTGAAGTCTCGTTCAGATTCAGCTACTCCTTCGGACATTGAAATTCCACTAGAAAAAAGAACAGGGTCACGTCTACCTGAATTTGCCTCGTATTCTGCTCGGAAAGCTGTTCTAAAACCAAGGTGAACGTCTGGAACTTCGAAGTCTTTCTGACAAAAACAATATTGGTGTGTTGATAGCTCTGGGGTTGTCCGTATGAAATCGGCAACACGAGCGAGCTCGTATTTATCATAACTCGTCGATGAATCCGTTGATACCTTGCTTACACGTAGTAGCTGAACGAAGGGATAGCAGGGAATATAATTTAGACTGATTTGGAAACAAACTGTTGCAGTTCCACCCTTTGCAATGCAATGTCGAGGTCTAAAGGATGCGTCAGCACTCTCGTCGCATTGATTTGATGACTTCCTACTAGGTTAGTTTGAACAGGTAGACACCGCGTGAGAAGTAGAAGAAAAAAGAGAGCGCTCATAATATAATAATGAATTCCAGTAATTAAACTTAATTAATTAACAGTAATTAACTAAAGCAATTAATAATAATTTAAAATAACAGAACGCATAATAAGCAACGTCTCTAGACTAGATCTCTCTCTCTCTCTCTCTCTCTCTCTCTCTCTCTCTCTAAAAGCACAATTTAATAAATTCAAAGCGTAATTGTGATAGGATATAGATGCAGTAACTCTAAACCTATTAGATTTATCCCAACCGTACCCGGATTCTTGAAAAAGTCATTGTTTTTATGATAAAGTGTAAATTTTCAATGGCGTAAAGCTTGATGACGATGCACTGATGTTTAAATACCTGAACTTTTAACTTTAAAATTTCACACAGTCAAATTACCTGCTGGTAGTAGCCTTAACGCTGATCATGTCTATAGTCTTTTTTCTGGGTCATTTGGTGGCGATTTTAAACCGCGAAATACAAATTACTTACAAACACCGAGTTAGCATAAAATTTATTCGGAAAAATGCTTTTGTTTTGATTTTTAGAGTAAGTTGATCTGAGAGGTTGGTTTATTTGTGGCCTAGGTTTGCACACTAGATGCATTCATATTCTATTTGCTACCAAATATAATGGGGTTCCCATGCATATTTTTAGTTTTTTTTTTGTGAAATAAGAGGTATGGATATTATCTGATTGACCCTAAATGTAGCGCGTCAATTGTTCAGCTATTACTAGCGACTCTACTTATTATATATGCTACTGATTATTTCATTATAGTTTTCTTATTTAGAGTTTAATTTCGTAATCCTGGACAAAAAGAAGACATCATAAATATTACGCACCTAAATTGAAGAAGTGCGCAGATTTTTATGGACTCCACGCACGAACACTTTAATGATAGTAAACACATCGATAGAAAAATCTGATTTTTTTTTGCATTAGATTTGTCGGCAACTAAGTTTCAAACCTCGAATCTGCAGAACTTAGCCGTCCAGTCAGCTAAAACTTGTTATTATTCCATTCGAGTTACTGCAAATACGTACTATCTAATTGAAACATCTGCAGAAAACCTGTTGTTTGCGAAGGGTATTTTTTTACAGCAAACTCGTCGATAACTAACAAAGATGGAACCAGTCACCTAAATGAAATAATGGCAGCATCTTGTGAGCACGATTTCCTAATAAGCATGGAGTCCAATAGCAAAATGCGTCTATCTCAGGTATAGCTGCAATCTATACCATTAGCGACCTAGACAACGAACTGGTATAGTCTACGAAATAGAAACCAAAATTCGTAGAAGATTTCAACTTTTATTTCCAAACACAGCAAACGACAAGTAAATCACTCATGTTTGATCTTACGATATCCGTACAAAAGGAATCGATGGTCCAAATAATTATAGTCAATATGATAATACTTTTTTTTTTATATTATATCCTCACAATGAAAAGGCTACTCCAGTTTCGATGCATCGCAAAAAATAATAGGACGGCTAAATATTGCTACCACTCTCCTATCTCAAGCATGTCGTACTTTACATAGATACACATTGAGATCACTCGAATTGGGAACTCAGTGTGTTGGGTGTTACAGCGAGGCTGCCTGTCACTCTGTGTTGGTGGGTACTACCCGATCATTATACTAGTTTTGTTGATCAGTACAATTCTTAAAGAAGACATTGATCTGTGTTGCTAGTTTGCTTGCGATATGAAGAAAATTCGTATCATCACTTCAAAAAAATTGCGAATATTCCTCAATTTTAAGCGAAATAATTCAGTAGATCCTCTTATGGAACCCTGTCTGCTTGGCAGAGTGTACATCAGTTACTATTTCTCCTAGGCGTTCAATAAAGACGGTCTTCAACACTACATATTATTTATCACGTTACACCTATGTGTATTGCAACTTTCCGGATGCGATTT